GGGCCCCACGGAGAGATGTCGGACTCTGCAGCTTCAGGATCTGAGCGAGAAGGTGGGTTAGGGTACAGGCTGTAACTGTAAGAAGCTAAAGGGGGCTGCAGGGTGGTGGAGGAGCTAAAAAAAGAGCTGGTGGGTGCGATGAGAGGGGTTGGGGTAGGGGGTTCAGCCACAGGCATTTACCTAACCAAACACAGCTGTCATGTGTGTGTGTGTGTGTGTGTGTGTGTTGTGTGTGTGTGCTTTGAGGAGAGGAAGAAAGAGAGAAAGGATTATGGTAACACAAGCAGTCTGGCTCATTCAAACGGGGGGAAAACACCACAAGGCTCTGGCTTGTACAACACACAAACCCTCCTCTCCCCTCCGTCTTCTCTTCTTCTCCCCTTTTCCACCAGGGCCTGCATCCAGCGAGGGCGGCCAAGAGAGGGGAGTCAGGCCCCAGATAACTCCCCGTCTTATCCTAACAGGATTCAGTCTGTACACAAAGGGCCTATAGGAATAATGAAAGGGGGTTTGGGAGCACTTGAAGCAGGGTTAAGCAGCGTACACAACCTCCTCTCTTATGTGCTAAGAGCGTCACAATCCCCCCCGAAGACCCCAAAAACAAAAGGTTCTAATCACAGACTGGCAACTTAAAGAGTATTTACCGGTGGACCTCAGCCACAAAACACAGAAGGCTCTGACTTAAGCCGGGATAGCATGCGGGCGCTTGTCATTGAATGAAAAGAAATAAATAAAACTTTAAAAAAAAAAAAGCTTTGATCCTCTTTGTAAAGAGGCATGACCCAGAAAGCAAGATTTGCAGTGTTTTCCTAAATAGACGACGTAAACAAAAAGGCAGACATTATCAAAAGTTATGACTGAAGACATTTTTATCACCGCTAGATCTATGTGGAGTAGTTTATTCAAAACATGTGACCGCTGTAGTCAGAGTATGTCTTGTCCCCAGCACAGAGACACAAAAAGTGACTCTAATTAAAATGTGATTTGTTGCAAAATCATTTTAGAAATGCCGATGTGTGTGGCTGTTTTTAAGAGATGTTTTGGGGCTGTTATTTGACAGGACAGTGGAGGGAGGAGGAAAACAGGTGTGCACACCCCATGATCCTCCAGACTGGCGGCCTGTGGCTCCTTTTCCTGCATCTCGCCCTCTCTCCCTCTGTCTCTCCCTCTCTCTGATACAGGAGTATATCAAGACAGCATTTTCAGGAATTCTTGTTTCTGCAGCCTCTCTCTCTCTCCATTTCTCTCTCTCTCCCTCCCTCCCTCTGTCTCTCTCTCCCTCTCCGATACAGGAGTATATCAACACAGCATTTTCAGGAATTCCTGTTTCTGCAGCTTCTCTCTCTCTTGCACAATTTAAAGTCTTTTCAGTGAATCAGATTAATTTCTTTATGATTTACAATTACACACAGAGCTCGTATGGTGACGTAGGAAGGCTGCACATCTGCACTGAAATGATGCATTTAAATGTATTTGTCCATCGAGGGTCAAGCCGGTTATGGTCAAGGCCCCATCTTCCCCCTCTCTGCGTGCCAAGAAACACCCTGAATTTATCTGATTTACTTTGGCTTGGCTTCTTCGAGACTCATTAAATAAACAGCGTTCCTGAGACAGAGAGGCATCTCCCCGTTTAAAATAAAAAACATCCAAACAAGCTGCCACTATGTTTGCTCACACCATGCGAATGTTTACTTTCACATTTGCGTTTAAACGCTGCTGTCAAATATCTTTCAGAGGAAACAGGGGCCGATAAGGTCATCCGTCTAATCTGTCTTTTTCTTCAGATTTAGTATCGCTGTTAGACGTCTGCATGCTCGGAAAAAACAAACTGACAGCGTCTTCTCCTGAGGAGTATGTTTCTGTGTCAGGTGAGGGGCGGGGGTGTTGGGATGAGGAGGAGGAGGAGGAGGAGATGAGGAGGACGGGGGAACAAGAGGAGACAGGCAGGGGTGTCTGGGAGAGCACAGATTTTTTGAGATCTGGGAGGAGATGACGGAGTTAACCCCACAGGCTTGTCACATCCTATTCTCAGCTTCACTGAGCAAGTCAGGGCCGAGGACCAAAAAAGGGGTGCGAGCGCAGTCACATGCTTCTGGCAAACTCGGCAGGCTTAATGATTTGGAAGGGAAGGACTAGGCTAAATCGAACTAATTTAAGGTTCGAGGCCAGATGCACTCCATCAAACACAACCCGGCGTCTGATGAATCGGTGAGTCATGTAGCCGAGGGAGAGAGAAGCCAAGGATGGCAAATAAGGTTCTAGCCGAGGGGAAAAGTGAGAGGAATTTATTACTCTCTGCTTTTCATGCAGACCGAGTTATTGTCAAATTAGAGGTGGAATTAAACAGCATCATGTTCTGTCTGTGCACAGCCACTTGACACCGCTACATTTATTAGAGTAAAGTAATCTGTGAAGCCTGGAAGAAAACGGCCACATTAGAGAAGAGGAGACGATCGAGAGAGAGAGAGAAACAGACCAAGTTGCATAAGATGCTTCTCGTTGCACAAGGATCTTCTTATTCTGCCTGTCGTCATTTTGTCTTCCAAAAATATTTATTCCCCCAAAGCCAAGTTGTCTTCCACGTGACAGAGGAGTGGGGGTGGTGTGTGTGTGTTTGCCTGTATGTGTGCTTGTGTACCGCAGAGCACACACAAAACGCATTGTTGGCCGGCGCCGAAACAACACAGCAGATTGTTTCCCACTGACAAAGAGGGGTCTGGTTTCTCATCGTGAAGCAGGGGCCGATTTACTGCCTGTGGCTTCAAAAGACTGGAAACAGAAGCCAGTCGAAGAAGAGAGTGCGGCTCGCTGAGCGTGCAGCGGGAACGTTCCTGGCATTATTTAACTGTATAAAAGCAGAGAAGAAGAAGACAGAGAAAGAGAGAGAGAGAGAGAGAGAGAGAGAGAGAGAGAAAACCTCAAAAACCTCAGAGCTGGCAACCAATGACAGCAGGAAATCATTTATCCTAAATATAGCAAACTTTAATTACACGCTGAGAGATACCGGTCCCCTCAAAACTTGCAGAAGAAGAGGTGTTTAACTCCAAGCAGACGACGGGAAGCATCGCTCTGCAGGATGTTGAAAGCAGGCTGATGGATAAATAGTAGAAATAAGGATCAGGTTTCATTTAATAACTGGCTGTAAAAAAAAAAAAAACCCAGCCCACATTCCTGTCTACCTTTTGTGTGAGAACCAGTCAGAACGCAGTAGCACTTTACCTCAAGGTGTTGTAGTACAGCACGTCTCCTGTTCAATCTCTACAGACGCCATTAATTCTTTATGGTCGACTGCTGCCCAACCTCGTGTATAGGGTCTCTCAGTCTCCCCCCGCCCCCTTATCTTTTCAGTTCAGTGATGCTGACGGACATTCAAGGCACTCAGGATGTGTGAATCCTCTCAGATAGATCTTGCACACTTTTTTTTTTTCCTTCTTGTTTTAATACCAATGCTCTCACACACACACAAGCCATGTCCACCATCTGTTACTGCAGGGCCCGGGCTGCAAACACACGCAAGACTCCACACAGTTCCTCGTTCCTGTGCCTGCAGGTCACAAGTTCAGGACGAGATGAACAATTCATGAGTCCCTGTAAAAAAAAGTGGGAAGGCTACGAGGAACGGTGGAGGGAGGGGATCTATGGAAATGTATCGGTGCACATTGTCTGCAGCTATGTGAGAGATAAGGATTGAACTGGGGCATAATGGCATTAAACAACACTGATGGAATTATCAGGCCAGAGTTTGTGGAGCGTACACACAAGCAGAAGGGGAAAATATTGGGGGGTGGGGGGGGGGGGGGTTGACACACATAGAAAAAAGCTTTAAAAAGAAAGAAAAGGAAAGGAAAGAAGGGAGGGGGAAAGGGACCACACTTGACTAATCACATTTTATAGATTGACCGGGCTAAAAGGGCTTATCTGGCCTTTTGTCCCTCCGAAACGCCCGGAGGTGTGCAGCGCTATGTTTCACAGGAGGGGGGGGGAGGGGGGTTGGAGGTCAGAGTAAGTTATTGAATGTCTACACGGGCCGTGAGCATTGTTGTTCTGTCCCCCCTCACGAGACAAAGTCGATGCCGGATTGAAATTGAAATTGATTGGCTGCTTGTAAATCAGTGACAAAGAGGACGTGGACAGGGCTTATAGAGAGAGTACAGTTTGTCTGCTTTGACGTGCAGAATATCAGAACATAAAGAGGTTTGACGAGTTCATAAGATGACGAGCTAAGTTTCTAATGTTGCCGCATTTTGTCGCAGTCGTAGTAGAACTACTTTTTTGGGTGGTAGTGCGAAAATATAAGCCAGCCGTTACTGAAGCAACACAAATATTTATACTGATACCACTTAAGAGATCCCCTCTGCATGCCACCTTCCACTAAGAGACGAGACTCCAGCGGACACAGACGTATATTCAAATTAAAAACAACTTGGACCATTTACAGATGCATCCCCTGAATTATTCAAAACTGGCCCACATATAGTGTTAAATATGCAGCATCGCCGCCAGCCAAAATCTCTCATCTTTGGGGAGGCCACAGCTCTTAAAGCCCTCTCTAGTTGGAGTAGAGGAATGCTGGTGCTCCAGATAGCGGGACGTGTAGTCTCAATGTAGCCTCCAGTTTGGGGGGGGGTAGGGGGACTGTAATGGCTTGTCTCAGATCTGTGGCAAAGGAAGGAAAAGGGAGGATTCCCCACCCTGTAATTTGCTGGGGGGGCTTTAAGGAGCCAACACCCTCGCTTGCTTTGTAATGATGTTCCTATTCTCGGTTTGCAAAAGGTAATCCAGGAACCATTCCTTATCGACTATTATGAAAACACCCGGTGCCTCGGATAAGCCGACACACATCCTTTTTATCAAAGGCAATATTTTCTTGATGTAAAAAAAAAAAAAAGAGGGCAGCCTTTAAACCCCTAAGATGGCATCATATAAACATGTTAGTTCAAACAGATGCTGTCCTGGAAAAAAAATAAGCCACAACATAAAAAAAATGAAAAAGACGGTACCTGTAGGACGAGGGGCTCCGGGTTGAATGCCAATGTCATGAGCAGCTGCATTCTCTCCGTGTCCTTCAGGTTCTTTAGAAGGAAGCTGCCTGAGTCTTTGGTCTCAGCGTACCTGCGGACCACGCGGTCCAGCAGCCTCTGAGAGGGGCAGTGCACCAGGTCCGACCAGCCCTCCACCACCTCCGGGGTGAGCAGCCGCACGTCCCCGTTGATCCGGGCGAACTCCGTCTTGTACATGGCCTGGATGAGGTCGCAGCGCGGCCGGCCCGTCGCCCTCTTGCAGATCTTCTGGTCGATCTCGGCCAGCTCCTGGTTGGAGCCGAGCCGCTTGAGCACCACGCGGCGGGTGCCCTCCCTGGGCTCGCCGTACTGAGCGAAGTAAACGTTCTTGACGTTGAACACGTCCAGGAATCTGAGGCGACCCCAGGTCTCGAAGGACACCTGGCCGTTCATGAACTTGCGACACCAGCTGGTGCCGAAGCAGGCGGGACACTTGTTGAGGTTGATGAAGCGTCTGTCCGTCAGCTCGTTCTTCTGGAAGGAGGCGAACAGGTTGTGAGTGTTCATCAACAGGATGACAAACAATCCCACCACCAGCAGGAGCTTCAGACAGCGGTACAGGCGGCCCAGTTTGAGAGGCAGGAAGCGCAGCATGATGGGGGGCGGGGGGAGGGGCAAGGGGGATCCTTGAGGGAAAAGGGAGGATGATCGTCAGGGAGATAACCCTCAATGCCTCTCCGTCATGGTGTATACGGCGTTAGCTTCTAAAGTGGCAGGCGGTGGCGAGGTTGGCACAGCTGCCCCGTGCCAGTCTCTGGCAGGGCCCGGTGAGTCATGTTCTCCCTCCTCAGTGTTTGTGTGAAACCTGGAGCCAGAAGGCCTGAAATCAAGGAAAGGAAGAGAGGTGGAGAAGTCATTACAACGGGGTAAATAATAAAAACAGCTACATTTCATAACACACTAAAAACAGCTTTCTGGTCCGGGATAACAAACTAACAAAAGGTGCGTTTAATTCGTCTCCAATAAAACAAAAAAGCACTTTCTCTAGCATATGAAGAGATTTTTAATTTGAGAGATTTCACTACTTGTTTGAGCAGGATGTAGATGGCCTACAGCCAATCCAATAAACTTTCCTGTCCCTGTTTTGAGAAGTGAATTCTTGTAAACTTCCTCCAATATAAGAAAGATAAATAAAAAGTATGAAAAAATAACTAAAATAAAGTGTCAGTGATCCCAATTAAGAGGAAATGTACAACATCCTCTCCTAGTCTAAAAGAAAAAGTGCTGCACTCAAGAGGATGATCCTCACAGGACCCTCCCCTCCCTTTGTAGCTACACAAGTGTTGATCTCTGTTGCTCCCATGCACAGCCAAATAACCCGGGCGCCGCCGCCTGTACACCACGGTCACACTGAGCTCTGAAAAATGTTTCAAAAATATAAACACGTCCTGCTTCAAATGCAGAAATCTGGCCGCATTGTGAAGAGAGTCACGCTGTGCGTAGTTTAACCTTTTTGATCAGAGTTGGTCTGCTTCGTTTTAAATCACGCTTTGAAGTCGTTTCTTTGAAAAACGGCTGGTGTCACTAAAATAACGTCTGTGGTTGAGGGTGCGGGGAAGGAATACGATGAGGGTAACTCCCATTTAGGCGTATCGATGTCAGCCCAGAAGAGAAATGGTGAGAAACGGAGACAACAATCTGAGCCCACAGTATGAGAACAAATCTCTCTGAAGCCCCTGAAGCCCCCCTGCAGTCTAACCCATGATGAAGACATGTTAGACCCCCAAATCAGCTTTTTAGCCATGAGTCTTGTAAGTCTTATGAGTGGCTTTAAGAAAGACAATGATTCAGGCCACCCAAATTAGCCATCCCCAATTAGAGCTCATTAGGACATGCCTATTAGGACGGCCGACTTGAGAGGGCATGAGCTAACGAGCAGGCTCAGTCCTGTGATTAGAGCGCGTGTCGACGGGTTCCTTTTCTGCATTTTTTCCTTTTTACAGATCGAAGCAGACTGAGATACCGGATAGACACGCGCGGGGGCTGGAGGCTGCCAAGACAGAGCGCGATTGTGAGGGATGCAGCGGCTGTGGAGTGTCAGATAAGACGCCGCATGCATGCAGGAGTTCTTCTTCCTACCTGACGTCTCTTGTCTGAAAATACCTTGAGCAGATCAGGCCAACATCCCTCATGTAAAAATAGACCGTATCCAAATAGCTGAACAGACAGCTGCACTACTTTTTTTTTCTGTTTAAGGGAAACAAATTTATGAATCATGTTTTTTTTTTGCTCAACACATATCCGGAGCTCAAACAAGGTGACTCAACGGTGAGCGGTGTAGCATAAATATAGGACGAGGATATGAGAGTTTGCAGACTTTACTTTTCATCTCTGGAACAGAAGTAAAACATCAGCTCGTACACCGACTCCGTCTGCTTTGAAACAAACAGCTTACTGCAAGTCTTAATTAATGTGTCGCAATTTACAAAGACAGAGAGGATTCATGTCTCTGATATTTCAACTTTAAAGGCTTTTTCACACTTAAATGTAGAAATCAAGTATCTCCTCTGAAAATAACTCTGTGAGTCATGACTGTCTACAATGGGTGTAACACCCGAGTCCCACTGTCTGTGATGTTTTCAGAGTCCTATCTTCACTTTGTTTACATCGCCGGACGGCCGGCTGACTCCTCCCCTCGTGTATAAAAGTTGTTTAATTGAGGGACTAGAGAAAAGAAGAATAACATACTGTACTCACTGCTTAACTGTGTTTCTAGATCACGCTCATTTCAGGTAAATTTACATGCAGTGTGAAGATACCAGCAGAATAAAGATCGCTAGCATTAGCATGCTAACACAACAATGCAGCGCGAGTTGTTTTGGTTTCATGCTGGTGCTCAAGGGCGACATCTGCTGGATCAAAAAAAAAAAAAAAAAAAATCACATAAAGCCTTCAACAAATGTTTCCTTTAGAATCGCCAACTTCAGGACGGTGGACCCCCATCAACTATTCTCAGACGTCATCACGTTTCCCCGATGTCGTAATATTGGAGTCAGAGGCGTTGCTTGTCAACAGGCAAGGCAGGCAACTGTTTGAGGACCCCAGACCAGTAAGGGGGCCCCAGAGGGCGGACAAAATTGAAACTAAAGCAGCGACCCATAATGTGCAAATTTTACAATGACAGTCGGAAACCTCCCTGAGATGGCCCCATCTGACCGCATTCACTCTCATTGCCCTGCTGAAAGTTGGTTGGAGGGCCCCCCCAATTGGTTATTGCCTTGGGCCCCAACTGACTCTAAAATCGCACACAGATTGGAGTCGATTCACAATGCTCCACACACACAGCGCTGTGCTTCTCTACCAGCTCAGCTGATCCTGTCTCGCCTCTGTAACTACCACAGAAGATGATTCAGACGGGGTGGAACGCTTCATCCCCACATTACGCCTTTGTGACATTCAGATTAGAAAACAGAACGTCACCGCCAGGGCGTAAATATCGCAGCTTGAAACGGCGGTCTGGACAGCACACCCAATATCTCCGACTTTAAACTTTACTCACAGATTGCTCTTCATGCATTCAGTCTGACAAAAAAAAGGCGCAAAGTGTGATAAATGGACAATAACCAAATAACCTCTCAGCCATATCCACTCAGAGCGAGCGAGAAAGAACCCAGACACAATTATGTTTCAGAGCCTGGAAAAATAATTCCAATTCTACAGATACTCCTCTAAGACGGGGAAAGGACGACGGATTGAACAGAAGAAGAAGAAGAAGAAGCAAATACAGAAACAAAGTCTGAATGACTAAGAAAAACAATTTCAACAGGAGTGAAAAAGAAAGCGTGCCTTCCACAGCTAGACGATGTTGATCGCTCGAGGGGCGAGAGCCGAATATCCCGTCGCTTTAAGATTTCGATTCAAGTGCCATTTAGCGTCTGACACAGGCAGTCTTGGCTGGCAAGATCTCGGGAGCAGATTTGAGATTTAACTCGGATCAGCAAAGGGCTCAGAGAGGACGAGACACAGCCTCAGCCAGGGCCCGCGAGGTGATCACCTCTTCATCCCTTTTTAAAGAGAATGAGTCAGAGAGACAGGGCAGGCTGGAACAAGCACCCGAACAAGACCTGGTCACAGCCTGACTAATGAGAACACACCTGCTCTCAAGAGAAAGGGTTAGGCCTCAATTACCCATGAAACATTACCTGGATTAGAGCGACGACTGAGCTAACTGCAGGAGTGGAAGGAGAACATACATGCTGAGTTTACTTTCTGGTATGAGAGACCACCAAAGGGGGCTGAAATGTTAGAAATAAGTGTCAACTTATTAGTGTGAAATGTCAACAAGTTTCACAGCTGACTCATCCTTGACCCTGTGCTTATTTTAGAATGAAGTGGGAAAGAATTAGAAATGAAATGTTAACATGGTTTAAGATTCTTTTATCGCCTGCTGCTGCTGCTGCTGCAGAATAATTGTGTGAATGAGGCCAAAACATTCAGCTTTATCGGAAGGATGGCATGGTCATTTATGACAGGGATGTTTTCTCTCTGGTAATTACACCACTAGAGTGCTTCTTGTGAATTCTGCGCCTGCATAACAGTTTACTTCACTCCCTCGCTGTCTGTTTGCTGAGAGTTATTCAACAGGACGTGCACAGAGGGGAGAGAGGGGAGAGAGGGGCTGCATGGCGAGGTCGCCTCCTGCTCGGGTTTTGACAACGGGGGTAAAGTTCACTTAAAGGCCCTGAAAGTACAGCCAGGTGCTTTGGATTCTAACTCAGATCATACCCACTGGAATAGAGAGGCCAGTGACATGTAAAGCTCAAACCTCATTGTGCCCACAGAAAACTGGTGTTTTAAATTAGTAGCCCCCCCCCCTGCCGCCCGCCCCCTTCCAAGCGTTCCTCCCTCGCGGTGCCGCTTGCTCCTCCTGCACTCTGAGAGAGCGAGGGGATGCACGACACCAAGAGGAAAAAAAAAACGTTTAGAATAAGCACCAAATTACCTTTTTGTCCATCACATCCCGTTTCCAAACAGCGGGGGAAAGAAACTGTTTTTTTTTTTGGACAAACTCGTCGACAAAGTATTGCGGCGGGCGCTTTGAAAGAGTGGCAAAGAAAAAAAGAGGGGCAAATCAAAGGATGCCTGACTCCTCATGCATGGGAGATGAGTCTCGCATTCGGAATGTTCCAAGTTTGGCAGATGTTTAAAAGCCGCAAAATGGCTCATTACTGAGGACAGAAAAAGGCACAAGATAAAGCAAGAGGCCCCCGTGTTGGCTTAAAACAGAATGACAAAAAGGTCGAGACAGAGCGAGATGACACGGTAATATCCTAATATTTCAACTTTTTTATTAAACTTTAGATTCTGACAGAATAACCCCGATAAGAAAAGAGCGGGGTTGAAAAGCGAATTTCCTTCTTGAATAATCTCTTCCTCGGCTCTTTGTGCAAAACTGGTTTCAGATAATGGCGCGTGTGGGGGGGGGGGGGCAAGGCTACTCGCGAGGCTAACCCATTTCCTTCACTGCACCTGAGGCTAAACTTCATTATGATATAATGAAGTCGAGCCACACATGAACATGTCTGATTAACTCCACTGGAAATGCAAAAAAGAGAGAGAGAGCAGAGAAGAAGGGACGGAGACGGGCTGCAGGAGTTTGAAAGAGAGAGAAAGTTAGAGCCACACGACGCACAGCGAGGGGAGAGAAACTTTGAGTTCTGATGGAAATGAATGAAAAGAGAGAGAGTGGAAGTGAACACATGCAAACATGGACGTGTGTGCACCCCTTGAGGACTGCCCATATTACCATCAAACCCTCCTCAACGCTCAGGGAAAACGCCTCCTCTGACCTCCTCCCACTTCCATTGCTATGTGCCCGCTCTGCAGCCGGAGAGGGGGGGGACTACTGTTGCCAAGGTTATCGACTGCAGGAGTCGATAATGTTTGATCACAAAAACATTCAGCCACAGCTGGGCCGCCTCAGTGCAGCGGGCCCCCGAGACAATGACGGATAGATGCAAATGACAGATCTACATGCCTAATGGAAAAAAATGGGAGTCCTCATAATACAAGCACCAATTAGCGGCAGCATCCCAATATGAACACAGGTTCATTCATCTGTGGGCCCAAAACCTGGACGTAAAGAGGTTTTTAATGAGAATATCAATGATATCTGTTTTTGCACCAATCTGCCGCAGCCACTCCAGAGGACTCCCGGGTACGGGGGGGGGGGGGGACGCTGAGACGCTGACTCTCTTCCAGTCAGCGTCTCTCTCTGGAAGTTAGAAAAGCTGTTGTACATTTAAAACAAATGCGTTTTCTTGAGAATGCACATAGACTTAACTTCACGACCTGACACATATTTTATCACTTTGCCAAAGATCCGCCTTAAATTCATGGAGCTCCAATTGTTGTTGAAGGTTTTATGTAAGTATGATTGGTTGCGTTTGGAGGTTATTTAAAAAAAAAAAAAGGACGAACTGTAACTCCTCCAGCGGGAGCTTTTAGGCCACAATTACAAGACGTTTCCCCCGCTGAGCAACATTCAAATCAACCTCCAGCAGAATGTCTTAAGTGCATCGGCCTGTTTTCATCGTTCCCTTGCCGACCAACCTTGCAGAAAAAGGGCTCCAACAATTAGTCTCCTGATAGGGGAAAAAATTAATTCTTAACAGCACATTCTATTCATTAGCCTGTAAAGAGAAATTCCTCTGAACTTATAATGGAGCTAAGCCTTTTTTTTATTATTTGGGACTTATCAGTAAGACTGTAATCTGTTTCCCTTGAAGAAATCAAGGGCGCGAGGAGTCCACATTTAAAAAAAAGCATATCGCAGAAAATCTCATGGTCAAGTCAATTTGGCGATTGTTGCAAATTATGCTTTTAGTTTCAGGATGGAGCGAATTCCTTCAGCCTGCAGCTACTTGCACATAGACAAAAGACTAAGCAAATTCATCCAAATCATGTTGGCCAAGTGGAAACCTGTTGAGAGGCAGTGTTGCTGTTTGGAGGAGTTAAAAACTACAATACAGGACATTAATGTAAAAGCGTGCAGATGTCCTGCAAACCTACAATGCAACACAGCATCTTCCTCTCCTTTGCATTTACTCTGCTTTTGGATGATATTATTTTGTACAGACGTCATCAGGTTGCGTTTAGGTACCCGCTGTGTTGACTGCAGAAGAGATATGAAGGCGGTGATTTAGAGATGCCAGTGGTAGTTGTGCTTTATGTAAACACCAGCAGCTCTCTAGTAATAATACACTTCCTGTCGCCGCTCAGAGGATGATTTGCATCTGATAAACAAGTTTGTTAGTCAAAAAACAATCCCTAATGGAGCAACAGTGACGAGCAGTGACTTCAAACTGATTTCTTTACCTTCTTTGTAAGTGGAGGCTGCAGAAAGGCACGCTTCAATCCACATTGTAAGGCTCAGGGTGCAGCACGTACTGAAAGAAGAGGAAGAAACAACTGTGAAACAAACCTGTGTGACTTTCCAACCCCCCCTCTCTCCGGCTCTGCAGGAGTGAAATGCTCAGCGCTCACTTGATATCATTCTTCAAAGTTGCGTTTCCTGACGAGGCGGTGGACGGACTCTGCAGGAATCCTCCTCTCAGCCTGAAACCTGCAGACAGCTCCAAGATCTCTAATCACACCAAACTCTCACGGGCTTCTCATGTCTAGCTCCTGGGTATGTAGCCAGCTAGCCTGCTAGCTGCTGCTGCTGAAATAAACAGTTGTGTTGTCGGGTCTTAACTCTTCATATACCGGCTCTTTCCGCCCGGACGTCACGGTCCGTCTTCACAAAGCCCACCGACGTGTGCGCTGTCCGGTCACGTCCCGTATCGATCCGCTCATCAACGAGTCCCCTCTTTGTGTTCGCGGAGATTTCCTCTTTTTTCTCTCTCTTCCCTCTCAGGCAGGCAGGCAGGCGGCAGCTCACTCCTCTCTCCAACACCACAATGGGTTCTGTCTCCACTCTTTTTCAACACCAGCCTCTTCAGCCTTTACGACACCCGCGCGTCTGTTTGCGGCCGCGGTTGCCGGGCAACTGTTCTAATATTGTCTCGGCTGAGACGCCGCCTCCAATGCAAAGTTTGCCAAGATTTCTATTATTTGCCTCCTCTTTAAGCCTTTAAAGCAACACTTTACGGCAAACAGAAGGCACATTTTGATGTGAAACGTTGAAATGTAAAGAAAAAGGAAAAATAAAATGAAAGTGTGAGCACAGAAAGAGGCTTCTGTTGCTGTTTCTAAAGGCTCAGTAAGATAAGATAATCCTTTATTGATCCCCAGTGGGGAAAATTCAAATGCTGCAGCAGTAAAAAGACAAGAAGAAGAGCATGCCTATGAGTACAAATACAATTAGAATATATAGGAATAAATAAAGATAACGGTATTTACAGCTTTTAGGCTATAAGAAAGAATTAAGGAAACTGTACACCCATTAAAATCTTAACTATACACTAAAAACTATACAGGACATTGAGACATGTGAAGTGGCAAGCTGAATTTAAAGTGACCAGTTATGAGATAAAGTGACAGAGATGAAATAAGGTGACAAACATAAGCGATAAATATAAAAAATAAGCATCTAAAAATAAAGATATGACATAATAATATGCACAAATGAAGTGCTCAGTAGTAGCATTGTTAGTGAATATATGTGGTCATAAATTAACCAGAAGGAGAACCCATGTGTCATGACTGTGAAAGGAGAACAATGGAGGCAAACACAACTAACCGTCTGTAAATAATTAATGTGGTTGCAAGGCGGTGCTTCTTTATAGTAAGAAGAAGAATATACATTTTATTTAAATGCAGCCATTTACAAACCCTAAACAACACTTTACAGAGATACAAAGACAAAACCAACTGAAGGAAACTAAAACATCACACGCTCTTTAATCTGAACAGGTTGGTTTTGATCAGGGGTTTGAACCGGTGGCAGGTGGGGGGGGGGGGGGGCTCATTAAGATTGTAAAAGCTGTCTTTACACAACCAGAGGGCTGAAGCTAACTTCTCTTTGCAGCTCGACGTGGTTGTTTTCATGAAGGTCTTGTGAGGAGGGACAGGGACAGCAGGCCCAGGAAACTCAATTTCATGCTTCTTAATGCTTCATTTATTTATTTATTTGTCTATTTTGTGGACTCTGTAACTTTTACACATCAACTTGTTCATCAGATTTTACGACAGGAATCTGCACACTTTTGCCCATGTACCATGTGTTCTCACTTTTTTATGCTTTCTGTATTGTCTGTGCTTTATTAAATGTGACTCTACCTGCAACCAAATTTACCTACGGGGACAAATGAAGTACCCTGAACCTGAACCTGAGTGTTGTATATCATATACCTCTGCCTGTCAGAAAAGCATGCTAAAAATTATGTTTACATTCTGAAACACTTTTTAATTTAATTCCCTTTATTTGACACTTTTAAAGTCATGTTTAGCTAAATTCTGGATGTATAAGCTTTATACATTATATGTAGGCCAGGCTTTCCCAACCTTGGGGTCCTGACTCTGTGCTGGATCCCCTGAAATTTGAAATATATTAAACACAGGTTACTGGAGGTCAAATGCCAAAACAAGAAAACTTGCAGAGTCTCTGTCTGTCATCACATTGTGCAGAAATGTCATCCCAGCCTCTCTTCCTCTGTCCGCAATACTGAACACAACAAAGCCTAAATGTGTCATTAATAAGTCATTAGTCTCAAACTCCAAGTGACCAATCAAATCAATATCTTCTAATCAAGGTGCCATGCCTGATTCTCTTGACTGACTGAAGCTTTAAGGTGCAGTGATTTAAGAGTCAACGTCCCGGGGAGCTTCATACATGCATTTGTTTGTATTCACTGCCCCCTGCTGGAATATATGTGCATGACAATGACAAATTGGTGAGTTCATGTACTGTGGGACATCCCGCAGATATTTTTGTTTAAGGCCTACATTATTTTCTAAGTGTGTTAAACTGTTTTTCAGTTAGTATTACGCGTTGTAAAAAAAAAAAATGCTGCAGCAATTACTGCCTTGTGGAGGCCATCTTGACTGATGATGTAAAATAACACATATGGGCCTACATAGGGCTATTCAAATAAAATGTTTGCGACAGCACAAATCGATAATTTCCAAACAATTTGAGGAAATGATATGTTTTAAATGTCGGATCGTCTAATTTAGTGCAGGGTTTCTCAATCCTGCTCCTGGAGACTCACTGTCCTGCATGTTTCAAATGATTCAAACGATCAGCTCATCAAGAAGCCTGAGAATGACCAATTCATCTGAATGAGGTGTGTTGAAAGAGGGAAACATCTCGCACATACAGGGAAGTAGTTTGTCTCCCCAGGACTAGGATTGAGAAACTTAACAGAGGAGGACGCTTCCGATGTGATCGTGAAAAACTAGATTGTCCGAGCAGCCGTGAAGGCAGCACAGGCTCTCCAGTGCTGCTGATGCGGATGTTGCGCCGCTGAACATGAAACAAAACTTTGTTGCCGATGACTTTTTTTCCCACCTGAAGCTTTGAAGATGCCGAGCAGTGTGAAGAACAGACACGATAATACAGCTTTGTTGTTGCTGTGTGCAGTCAGCATGGCGCTCATTACCATCGTCAGTGTGTGGAGGTTAAGACAGTTTAAATATAAAGCTGTGCATGAAACTGGAGGTGCAATGTTTATTGGTAAGTAACTCGATCTGGAGTTTCAGAATACGGAAGCCGTTATTCAGCAATAAGACCAGCAATCAATAAATTCAAAACATTAAGAAAACATGATCAAATCTACCATGAGCTCCTTTCCCGCACGTCTTTCCCCGCTCTCTGTCTTCAAGATTTATGACTCTGTCCACTCTGACCTTTCTCTAAATTACGGCGTAACCCCCCACACACACACACACACACACACACACACCTGACTTGTAGGTTATGCTGTTATTCTATGCTGATGATTAACTGGACTCAACCTTTGAATTCACTGTTGCACCTGAAATCCAACCTTTACTCCAATTCTCAGTTAGATATATTTTATTAAGGGTTCATCAACAAGCGTTCTACTTTGTTCTTACATTATTGAATGGAAGTTCAGTTTCACCGACGTTTCATCACCACAACAACATGTAATATAGATACCTTTCCCTCTACATGCTACTTTTATGTTCCTGTTGAGCGTCTTGTTATATTTAATTGATTGTGCAGTTTTATTTCCATCATAGAAGATTCACAGTCGTTCATTTAATTCAGGAATAACTTTCATAAAGAGTGACTCATCATCAGAGACGCATTCATGACCTTCACTGTTCTCTCAGGTGTGCTGGTGGGGCTGACGGTGAGGTACTCGTCATCTGCTTCAGGACATGGTGTGGTCGGTACGGACGCCGTGTGCAGTTGCGACGGTTTCAACAGCACTCCGCACTTCTTGACCGTCAACATCACATCACACGTCCACTGTTTTAGACACGCTGGGAAGCTCGACCAAAGTTGCCCGTTAGTCCCCGCCCCTCAAATGGTAACTACAGCAATTTACTGTAATTTTTTTTTAAAGATATTTTTTGTGCCTTTTATTGGATAGGACAGCTGGAGTTAAGAGGACATTTACACAGACAAGGAATTTGACTTGGTGTGTTGGTGCTAAACAATTAACAAGGAAATAAAACAGAACTAGAAACAACTTAAATAATACAGAATAAGAATAAGAATGTTAAATATAAAATGTAAAAAAATAAGAATAAAAAACAAAAAATGTACAAAAGGTGCAGTGTAGGAGCTGTGCAGTGGACTATAAGGAAAAATCTTAGTGTGTAACCTCTGTACATGGGATTCTGCATCATAACCGCCGCGCTTTCTAACGCCTCTGCAAATTCAATTTCGCCCTGAAATTCAAATAGCCTACATTTTAAAGATTTATTTTGGAGCTTTTATGCCGTTTTTGGAGAGACAGGACTGTGGATAGAGTCGGGAATGACATGCGGGAAAGGAGCCACAGGTCAGATTTGAACCCGGGACGCCCACTTAGAGGACCACATCCTCTGTACATGTGGCTCGCGTCCTAACAACTCGGCCACCGCCGCCCCCTTAAATAGCCTGTAGGTAGCTCCAGCAGGTTGTGCATCCCATAAAGATGCTAGAGACATCATTTTCTATAAAAGGCTGAAAAATCAATACTGTACACAACATGCTTCCTTTTATTTTCATTTTGCTCTCCTTTGATCACGTGTACTTTTTGTCCCTTGTGTATGCTCGGTATTTACATCCACGGTGTCCTCTAATGGTTCTTACTTATTGTTTTTTTTCCTCTAAACGACTTGCACGGTCTGTTTGTTATTAAGGAAGCAAGAGAGAGTTTAGTACAGAGAGGCGGTCGAGCTGCAGAGCAATTTCGGCTGTATTAGGGATTTATTAAGGAACAGATAGGGGAGATAACGGCTTCAGATGTGCTGTGCAGACAAGGGGAAATTACAGCTAAACACAGAGACCAATAAACAAACTAAACACTACGACTAGTAGAGGAAATAAAGCAGCAGATAGAGCTGAGCGGTGAACAAACAAACAAAGAACTTTTTATTTAATTATCTGAAAATTAGAGATGCACTGCTGCCTTTTATGTTATTCTTTTTTTGTTTAATTAGTTCTTAACTGACGTGAAGCTTACTGAATCAAGAAGAGATCTGGTCGCAGCAGTTGTTGATTTGGATTTAGACTTCTGCGCCTCCATGCATGTGTGGTGGTGACTGTGTCTGCAGAGACCCCGTCTGTCCTCTGACTGTTCTGGTTTGGTTTGGTTCACTCGTGATGTTTCTGGGCGGGTGCACTGGTGTGTTTGCTCCAGCCAGCTGTATCAAAAGCATTTTTATCCGGTCTTGTCTCGGTCTCAGACTGGGAGCACTCCGGGGGATGTGATATTTATGATCTTGGGCTCCATCCCTAAATGTCTTGGTCTTGTCTCGGTCTTGGAGAACTCTGGTCTCGGGTATGTCTTGGTCTCTTTTAGTGTGGTCTTCTTGACTACAAGGGATCAGCCTTTGCTTGTCTTATAACTGTTGTATGGCTCTCGTTTATCTGTGACACCATCAGAGAGATGTGTCATATGAAAGAACTCCACCAATGAGAGAGGGATGAATCCACATGATTCTACAATTCTACAATTCACTCAGCAGACACTTTTATCCAAACCGACGTACATCAGAGAGTAAGAACAACACAAGCAAGGATCTAGAAAAAAGGGAACAATGTCAGTAAGAGCAAACGATCAGCTTTGAGTCTGATTGGACACACAGGTGCTGACAGGAAGTGACCAGAGGCAAAGCACAACATTGAGGGCAGTTCTTGAGAGCTCTAATCAGTATAGAAACCATCTTATAAGTCGTCGTTATCAAACAAAAACCATCGTCATTAACATCATCATCATCAATAATATGGAGACCATCATCATTAAGTTAGTAGGTATTCATGAAAGAGCTGGGTCTTTAGCTTTTTCTTAAAGGTGCAGAGGGACTCTGCAGATCACATGGAGTTTGGAAGTTCATTCCACCACCGGGGGGCGACAGAGGAGAAGAGTCTAGTCAGCGTCTTAGGACCCTGTTGTGAAGGTTGGATTAGACACCTTTCATTGGCAGAGTGTAGTGGGGGGAGGGAGTGTCGACCTGGATCAGAGAGTTAAAGTAAGGAGACGTTTTTGTCGCTGTTTTGTAAGCGAACGTAAACTCCAACGAGCGTGGGAGGAAGTGAAATTAGCATGTTTGAAAATGAATGATCTAACCCTTGAGAAATATTTTAACCACGAGAGCAAGTGAACAAGTGAACCGTGAGCCTTGCAAATCATCCAGGCCAAGTGTAACTCCTCACTAATGGCTTGGACTCGTTGCCCCCCCACTCCCCTTTGAATGCTCGGGTCTCATTAGTAAACCAGCAGAGGCTACGACAGAGGCCATTACATCAGTCTGACCGTTCTGTGCAGCCTTTCCCGCCATTAAGTCTGATACATATGGGGGACCTAGCAGGCAGAGAGATAAGGATTTCACTGCATTACTGAGTCCATTATGTGCCACCGGGGGAATAAAGCATTAAAGTTTGTGGTCTGATTAAATTTAGTGCAGCTCTGCCGAAGAGGCAATTAGTGAATACAAGACACCTCCATCTTTGACTGTGTGGTGCATGCGGCCCCTCAGAATGCGACCCCATGCGAATGCATAATTTATCTCTCACAGGGTCTGTATTTGTCTCTGTTATGGAGTCTTGAATGTGTCACACACAGCCCGCACACAGCGAGGAAATACATCTATATTGTTGCTGCAAAAAAAAAAAAAAAAAAAGTAATTTATATCGAGTGTGGAAGAAAGTGGCTGAAAAATAAAAGTAATTGGTATCCCTGGCAACCATTTCAAGTGAGAGTAACTGGAAAAGAGTTGTGGCTCTACAAACTACACGGGGGGCTTTACAGCTTTAGAAATAACAATTAAGAATGCACAGTTTTTCACTTCTCCACATTACATGGGTTAATGTGTTCCACAATGCAAAGTGTTCTGGAAATAGAATAGAATAGAATAGAATAGAATAGAATAGAATAGAATTACTTTATTGATCCCAAACTGGGAAATTGTGTTGTTACAGCAGCAGGTTATCCAACACACAATATGAGCAAAAAACACAATGTTAGCAAATCTAAACACAATATAATATTAACTACAAAGTAAATAAGCACTAAAAATATAAAAACTAAGAATGTGAATATATACAACCAGGATTTAACTTAGCATTACTAGTCTTAAATATGAAGATTAAATAGGAAGATTAAATATGGAAGATTAAATGTTGATGTGCAAGAACAGAGTTGTAAATGGACAGTATTGACATAAACAGGCAGGCCTGTCATCCATGCATCCAACATATTAGTACTGCTCTCCTACCTTAACCAACTCTTTGTTCTTGTCTTAAAGGGGACATATTATGAAAAATCCACTTGTGTTGTTGAACATATATCTGGGTAACCTGAGAGTCTACTGACCCACAACATGTGAAATAAACCCATCCAGTCCTTTGTTTGTGGTCTGCATAAGTCTTACAACACAGAGAAAAATGCTCTGTTAAAGAGACACACACACCAAAACGGAGCGTTCTGAGAGAGCTGGTTTATACAGGGTCACAAACCTCCTCTGGTGCTTGATTCATGTTATATTTTGACCAAAGCACAGCACAGATGTTTTATTTAGACCACAGGGGACTGTTTGAAAAGGTGGAGGAGGGGACTGTTTGAAAAGGTGGAGGAGGACTGTTTGAAAAGGTGGAGGAGAGGACTGTTTGAAAAGGTGGAGGAGGACTGTTTGAAAAGGTGGAGGAGGACTGTTAGAAAAGGTGGAGGAGGGGACTGTTTGAAAAGGTGGAGGAGGGACTGTTTGAAAAGGTGGAGGAGGGGACTGTTTGAAAAGGTGGAGGAGGACTGTTAGAAAAGGTGGAGGAGGGGACTGTTTGAAAAGGTGGAGGAGGGGGATCATATGTCCTCTTTAAAGCAAAATTTGAGCCATTCTCAAAAGTCTGTGACCACAGCCTGATATCACTAAGCATCATCTCCCCTAAACCAAAGTGATATTTATGAACTTGAATGTAATTCTCAGAGTGATGAGACATTGTGGAGATGTAGGAATCGCAAGAAGAAAAAAAAAGTAGCATTATTTTGATGTGAATCAAACATCGCTGCCGTTTGATCCTCTAGAACGCGCCCACAATAGACATAAAAAGGATTCAAGGATGAAGTAGATGAAAGGCTACCTCTCTGAGCGGCTTTTATTGCACTATATTGGCGTGGTAGAGAAACAGAACAGAACGTGCATGGTATGTTAAGAGAGATTCCTCACACTCTTTGAATGCTGTAAAGGTAGATTGTTGAAGGTAGATCTGGCGTCAGGAACATGTGTGGTCATATGTATGTTTTATACTTGCTTATACTCAAACTAAAGACTGATTGGAGCCTCCATGCTGAAGACTAACATGAGCACTTTGACTTCTGTGTGTGTGTGTGTGTGTGTGTGTGTGTGTGTGTGTGTGTGTGTGTGTGTGTGTGTGTGTGTGTGTGTGTGTGTGTGTGTGTGTGTGTGTGTGTGTGTGTGTGTGTGATATCTGTAAACAGAGTCCTCCTGCTCCACCACAGACTCCCGCTGTCACTCACCGCCTCAACAACAGCTCTGTCTCTTTACAGGTGACCTTTGACCCCGAGGTCCTTTTCAATCTGTTCCTGCCGCCCATCATCTTCCACGGAGCGTACAGCCTTAATCAGGTGAGTCTGCCGTCCTGACACGCCTCCGAGTCAAGGAAAAGACTTCATTAAAAGGACTGTGTGCCTTTCTGTGAATGGAAAGCGCTGTTTTATAACAAGTGTTGCTTTTTGTTGAATCAAACTGTTGATCAAGTGTTGTTGATTTTGACTTATTCCTGTTGATTTCTGTTCCAGAGAAGAGTCACCCAAAATCTTGGATCCATCGTGACCTTTGCGTTTGTGGGCACCATCATCAGCTGCGTAACCATCGGGTAAGTCTGTCTGATTCTCGATCACACAAATGTCAGATTAAAAACACACAAAGTTCAGGTGCAGAAAGAAAAAAGCGAACACCTGTGGGTCTGGATCCCAGACAACAAGATCTGAAAGCGAGGGGCTTTTCACACAGCTCCACCATGCAAAAGAAAACGTGCAGATAAGATGAGATAATCCTTTATTTATCCCACAACGGGGACATTTACAGTGTTACAGCAGCAAAGAGCAAAGACTGCAAACAAAAAGTGAACACAGAACAATTCAAATAAAAAAAGAAAAATGTACAAAAAATGTAAAATGTACATTTTCTTTGTACATTTTTATTATTTTCTTTTTTTATTTAAATTGTACTGTGTTCACTTTTTGTTTGCAATCTTTGCTCTTTGCTGCTGTAACACTGTAAATGTCCCCGTTGTGGGATAATCAGATCAGAGTAAAGGTAGTTTAAGTTCGTTAATCAACGACATTACAAACATAAACCACATTTCATCAGGGATGGAAGAAACAGACAAAGCAAAAGCAGGAAGTCAGGACAACAACAGAACATACAGCCAATCAGAGGCTACAAAAAAAAACCCTGTGCATGTCGGGGTATGGGAAGTGATTTGCGCAACTTTAAATCTTGTACAACCCAGAGTCTTTTTTAAGAGGTCTTAGGTATCTTTGACAGAAAGCAAAGCATGCTCAATATGAAGTCCCGTGAGCTGAGTGACACACTTTCATAAAGATTATTAATCCCTATGATGGGTGTAAAGCGTCTTTGAAAACTAAACAGTTGACTTTGTTGTCAGTATCAATCCGTTTCATATTCACACACTTGCTTGTAGTGTTGTAATTCTGGTTCACAAAGCTAGATGGCACCGTCTGACTTTGAAAGGAAACTAGATGTTACCGACGGATTAATTTGCTGCCACACAGAGACTGTTAGACAACCTCCAAAGTCCAGTGTAATAATTACACTGGATTCATTTGATGAAAACTGGAGTTTACTGTTATATGCTCTCTTTATTAGTTCCACCTGTTCCACCTTAAAGTCTACTTCTTTAAGTCTCATGCCTCTGATGTTACATTTTTAGTTACATTATTTGTGTGTCTTCCCCTTCTCCTTCTCCCTCCTCTTTCTCTCATGCTCCGTCCCTTGGAGCAGCCTTAGTCAAACTCTCCCCCCCCCCCCCCCCTGCAGGGCAGGGTTTGACATGTTGAGTCACATGCACATTCTTTGATGCGAAGGTTGCAAGACCTGACCAATCCTGTGGCTTGTTAGTGAGTCTTGCCTTATCCCTTTTGGGGAAAACAGTGTCATGGGAGTGAGGGAGCCGCGCTGACTCAGTTGACAGAGCACATCCACTTCTCCTTCTACTTCTCCTTCTACTTCTCCTTCTTCCTTCTTCCTTCTTCCTTCTTCCTTCTCCTTCTTCTTCTTCTTCTGCTGTGTGTGTCCGTCTTCCAGACACACACACACACACACACACACACACACACACACACACACACACACACACACACACACACACACACACACACACACACACACACACACTTTGAACATCATTACCATAAATTCAGATCTCCCTTAAATTTACATGAATAAGCGGCCCAGTTGCCCAACCTGCGGGCACTACTTCCAATCCTGGCCTTGGGGACAGGTCGTGTGTCATCACCATGGTAACGGAGTCATGCCAAAGGACAGAAAGGTCCCCGGGAAGACACGCTGGCATACTTGATTATCATGGGGATGCTTCACTATAACAGGATTAGTACTTAACACACATCCTTTTGGCAGTCAGGAGCTGGACTGTTGAGTCGAATGCTTAATGGAGGTGTTGGAATATTTTCGGGGTCACGGACGGTGTACAGTACTTTTTAAAGAACACGACATACAAAGGGGAATTCTGGGACATTTAAAAAATAAAAAAGTCTGTCTCTGTTTTATTCTTGTCACCATGCCAAATGTAAACATCGTTTCTCAGGTAATTCCCAACGCACACACACACACACACACACTCTATAAATAGAGCTGCATGTCCACCTGTGCCAAGCCTAGAAACGGGTCAACTCCTGTTGGCTAGCGTCTGGCCCCATTGCCCAGACTACTCTGAGGGAAGGCCTGCTGTGGTTATGACTGATAGGCCTGCTTGGGGGGGGGGGGTTTGCGCTCTCTGATGAGCTCATGGTGTGATGTTCTCTGTGTGTGTTTGTGCTCAATCCCAGGGCCTGCGTCTTTGGATTCACCAGACTGATGGTGCTGTTCGGCCGGGCAGCAGATGCAGACTTCCTCCTCGCTGACTGCCTGCTGTTTGGTGCAATCATGTCAGCCACTGATCCAGGTAGCCCAACTCACAAAGGACCCGCATCGCTTCCAAAGGCAACATTTAAAAAAACACTTCTGGTTTTAACTCCGTCTCGTCTGTTTCATGTTAATATGTCTTTTATATGTCGTCTTCCACTTGCTATGTCTCTTGTGTGATGTGTCCTGATGGATATGCAAAGTATGTGACTTCCAGTTTTCCTGGAGCCAGCTTCTAGTGGACACTTGAGGAACTGCAGGATTTTACACTTCTGCATCGGCTTCATTTTTCAAGACCGGAGGTTGCTGCTTGGTTTAAAGTCTTTATATTCGATTTTTCACACTTAAATGTAGAAATCAAATATCTCCTCTGAAAATAACTCTGTGAGTCATGACTGTCTACAATGGGTGTAACACCCGAGTCCCACTGTCTGTGATGTTTTCAGAGTTTTCAGAGTCCTATCTTCACTTTGTTTACATCGCCGGGACGCCGGCTGACTCCTCCCCTCGTGTATAAAAGTTGTTTAATTGAGGGACTAGAGAAAAGAAGAATAACATACTGTACTCACTGCTTAACTGTGTTTCTAGATCACGCTCATTTCAGGTAAATTTACATGCAGTGTGAAGATACCAGCATAATAAAGATCGCTAGCATTAGCATGCTAACACAACAATGCAGCGCCAGTTGTTTTGGTTTCATGCTGGTGCTCAAGGGCGAAATCGCATATAAAGCCTTTAAAGTGACTGGTTATGAGATAAAGTGACAAGCAATAAATATAAAAAAAGCATCTACTGTAGCTAGTGTAGTCCTGTAGTTTAGCTTGTTTTTTAAAGCTTGGTAACTGATTTTGCAGAGCGTTAAGGACTGGGTGTATAGCCATCCTTTTTTTTCCTCCATATCTTTGAATGTTGAAGAGATTGAGATTGATACCTAAGGCTGCAGACGGGATCAAAGTCACAATGCCCTCTCAGCAGCTGCTTTGCATTCGTGTCAGCTCGTTTCTAAGTGGAACCACAAATACAATCTGTGTTGTACAAGAGCTGTCAAGGGGGATGTCATGAGGCATCCTGCAACACTGCCATGTTGGAAATGTTAATGTCCACATTTGGTGATGAATTATGTATACCAATAAGTGGTTGAAGAGCTGTACATAATGGTGCAGCTGTCAATCTGACTTGTGTTATTTTTCCTTTGCCATATGGTGATCATCCTTGCCTGGTCCCAGCGTCTCTTCACTTTGATAGGAATCACACTGATGGCCCAAACGCCAAGACCCCAAGGCTTCCTTCATCTCCCAATGTACAAATTTAGATCCAGTGCCCTGATTTAAAAATAATAATAAAATACTGAACATATCAAAATAAAAAAATCCAGAAAATGTCGGACAAATGTTTCTAAAAGTTCCTGGGAAAAATGTTAAGAAATTGCTTGGGAAATGTTCTAATATTTCTTCTTCTTCTTTCTAAAGTCCCTAAAGTCAAACACTTTTACACAAAGTTCTCATGAAAGTTTACTCTAATTAAAATTCCCCCCAGATTTTGCTGAAAATTTCTGTCCATTGGGAAATTCTCAAAATTGTTCGAGGGATGTTTTTTCGAAAATTCATGGGGGAAAATTCTCTCTGAAAGTTCTTGAGAAAATTTAGAATACATCAGACCCAAACTCCTGATTATTTAAGATGGAAATTCAAAAGCTGAAACCACAGAGAATATCAGATTTAAGTTTCTGAGAATTCCGCAAAATCGCCCCCAATTTCAGAAACCATTTTTTTGCAATAGTTAAAAACTGTTCAGAGACCTTTCCTGTCCTAACATACCAACCTACTGAGGACTGTGAGATATATAAAATATAAAATCTTATTATATAAAGTTAACATTCTTTGTTAGTGTGAGGAAGCATTATCCTGCTGCAGTCTTGTGACACCTGTTTGTGCACTTGTCAATCGAGTTCTCTTTGCAGATTATTGTAATCACCTGTTGATGAATATCTCCTTACCTGTGTGTCATTTTCAGAATTTTTATCGTCCTAATTTGGTCAAATCAGTGAGTCGATCCCACGCTCTCTGACTGCGACTGCTATACTATGAGCTTCGCCTTCGGCAGCCGCAGATAATTTGACCTAATAAGGCTTCCATCCAACCCTCTCAACCGTATTATGACTGAAATAATTGTCTACTCTTTCAGCCTCATGGTGTTGCTGTGGAAACAGATGATCACTCGACAGCTGTAGGACGGAGGGTTGCCTTGACAACCAAGCCAACCCACACCCTCCTGTGTTTCTGAATGTGTTTACGGGGTGGGCGCTCTTTCCACCCCCCCTCCTCCTCCCTGTCTTGCAGTGTGAGCGGTGCATGCCACGCTGTCATCAGCCAGGCATTAGCGGGTGCAGGGAGTTGCAATGATCCTGACTCCAGGGCTTACCTCACCCTCTCTAGATATAAATGAAGGATGTTTCCCCCGACCAGGAAAAAGCTTAAAACCTGTCAAAGACCAAAGAGCCACATCTGTCAAAACAAGTCCTGAGGCTGTTCTCTTGCCACTGCTCTTATTGTCAGTCTGCTCGTACACTAGCTGAGATACCCTCACTGACCAGGTGTTTACTGCAGGGCCAGACACAGTTATCCCTCTCTGTTCATAATAATAATAATAATAATTACACATTATATTTATTTAGCGCTTCTCGAAACACTAAGAGACATGAGACTGAGATATTTAGATTGTGGCTGTAGAGTTCACACCGCAGCGGAGCGTGAATGTGACCACAGGTATGGGTGGTGAATTTTACGTTCTGTGTTTAAAATTGAAGCCTTGTGCTGTTGTAGTTTCAGAAATTCTGTGGCAAAATGTACAGCGCGGGTTGTCAATGTGGATATTGAAGTCTCCCAGGGGACGAACAGAAGGTGAAAGATTTTCCCTCGTAGCAAAAAATGTCCCTGAAACTCATGTATTGGATGTTTTTGCATCTTGGCCTCAACAAGTGGAAGATGAATCTGCAGAGAGCTAACCTTGGAGTTTTTCTTAAACTATGTCTGCTGTCTTTCTCTATATATAACATAGTTGTTGTTACTGTATATGATCATTCTGTTTTGCCTAGTCTCTCTCATGGTGGTGACAACAAAAATTTCCCCTGTACATTTTCAAGAGCTCGACCGACATGGAATTTTTGGGGCCGATATCAATATTGATATTGGGGAGGAAAAAAAATCTGACACCGATATATCGGTCGATATCTTTCTTAGATCTATGAAATCTGTAGAGATAGATGGATTTAAATTTACACATTAATTCAGTTGTTCCCTCAATGCAGTCATCAAATACTTGTGAAAAAGATATAGAATGAAGAAAAGATGGTCGCTCAACTGGAAAATAGCTGAGTGATGACGCTTGTTGTAATCCATATAGCGCCCTCTGCTGGTGACAGAGAACTGCTAGTGTAATACAATAAAACTCAAATTAAATGCTGTTGAACAGGTGAATAAATCTAGTGATATCTGTGCATATCTGCGATATTAGCCAATACCGATAGTCACTGGATATGCAAATATCGGCCGATAGTATCGGCTGGCTGATTAATCGGTCGGGCTTTAAATTTTTCCATCGACTGTTTCTCATCCATTTGTAAATCTAGTTTTTATCCAGTTTAAATTGTAATACAATCATAATGTAATGTCAGTCTCAGTAATCATAGAGCAGACGATGCTTCAGCTGATGTTTTGCAGAAAGAGAGTCGAGTGTTGACAGGAGGTGTGGAGCGGACGGGCACATCAGCGCCCTGTCAATGTCACAACTCTACTCGTCACTCACTGTCCCAGCAGAGCCGTCCTGTGCTGCTGAGTGTGTTGTGTTTCTGTAACGCGGCTCATTCATATGCTGCATAGGCGGCGTCTCCCACCTCATGTTGATCCACCTCATGTGAACTCATCAGGGAGTTCACGTTCCACTCTGAGGATGCAGAGCTGCACGAGAATCAGGATCTTTAGGATCTTAAAATGAAGGAATAATGTGAACATTTCTTATTTATCAACTTGTAAATACCTTCTTGACTGATTAGAAACTGATCATTTATAGTCACAACTATTTGAATCAGATAGTATCAGCTCTCTCCAAAGTTTAGAATTTGGACTGCAGTACCCATTTTAAACACTAGGACATATCTCAAATTTTTTAAAGATTTATTTTTGGGCTTTTTGTGCCTTTAATGGAGAGATAGGACAGTGGATAGAGTTGGAAATCAGGGAGAGAGAGTAGGGAATGACATGCGAGAAAGGAGCCACAGGTGGGATTTGAACCTGGGCCGCCTGCTTGGAAGACTATAGCCTCCATACATGGGCGCGCACACTAACCGCTGCACCACCAGTGCCCCATGTCTCAAATTTTAACCTTTCTAATTTCAAACTTACTAAAACAGAATCATGTTTCATGTAAAAACATTCCCAGCATCTCACCAAGATTATGCTTATTCTTTATTTCTGTTAACTTAATGATGTTTTAATAATTGAGGTAATGTGTTCATGCATTCAGTGTAAAAGGGGGACACATGCTGGCATGGTTTGATTTGTGTTAGTATGAACTACTCAATGAATTATGATACTGTTTTCATTTGAGTGTTCCTGTTATCCTGCAGCTTTGCATGAAAATCAAAAAGGCTATTCAACTTTTAATTGTTCGCTATTTGTACTGCAGTAGTAGGAATCAATAATGCATTTCTTTATGTTTTTTTCCTTTTCAGACATCAATATTGTCTTTTTGTAAAGCATTGTGTTTTTAGTTCCGGCTCATTCTAAACAACTCTTAGCTTGATTTAGTCACTCCGGCTGCTCCTGGTGTCAGAAAAGTTCTTTTCCAGGTCTGCCGGTGAGCTGACACGTTCTGTCAGCGTTCATTGTTAAACTGTAACATTAATTCCCTCTGTCTCCTGTTGGTAGCAGCAGAGGTGACAGGTGTTGCTGTATGAACACCAGAGAAGTCTTGCAGTAACTCTTGTTTTTTGTTTTGCTTTTTTAGTTTCAGTCCTTTGCCTGTTGTCGGAGCTGCATGTGGACCCGGATTTGCACACCCTGCTGTTCGGTGAGAGCGTCTTGAATGACGCCGTCGCCATAGTCTTGACACAGTAAGCTTTAATTTAAGATTTGTCTGCGCCATCAGAATGCACATAAGCTCAGTTTTTTTTCCAATGGGCCTGATGGGGGGGATGTGTGCGGGGAAGGGAGAGTGGATGGATGCCGCCAGCTTTAAGGTGTAATTGGTAAAAAAACTGCATTAGTTCCTCAGATGTTATGCAGTGGACTGCATAAGTGAGCTGCCCCTGGCACTGTCAGCATCTCATTAAGGTACTGAGTGGAGAGAGTCACTGCCAGATCCTGGCTAACAAACTCAGCAGCATACTGTCAAAATCAGACAAAGCTCAGGGAGGAAGCCATGATGCAGGCATACCTCCCTGTCAACTGCTTCATTCTTTCCACTCTACTTTTCCCTTTTTTTTTTTTTGTTTACAGTGTTTCACTCAAATATGCATGTTTGTCCTGCTCACACACATTGCAGTCATTGTCTGCTCCATTTACACGTTGCTAGTGAACAAAGCCGTTCAAGTCGACATGCTGATTCACATCCCTCTACCTCGAAAAAATTATTGGTGAAAAGGACATTGTAGACCTTTTAAAGATTCTTATGGTGGCAAGTAACAAAGCGATTACTAAATGTTGGCTTCAGAGCAACCTCCTACCATGAGACTCTTGAGGAACATTGTGAATTCTATCAGCTTTATGGAAAAAAATGACTTTTGTCCTGCGACTTCAAAAAGGAGAAGGGAGAAAAATATTGGAGAAAATGTGATTTATACAAAGATAAAGACTCCTAAATATATCTTGTTTCATTAGAATGCATCCATTATATTCTGTACCTGTGCCTTTTACATTCTTGCATTCATTCATACTGTCTTAGTGCCCTGGTCCTCACTTGTTCTGTGTTTCTTGTAAAACAAAAATGATAAAAAAAAGTAGACATGCTAACAGATGGGGAGCAGAGCGATGTAGAAGAAGCGCGATTTCAAGATATATGAGAAGATATGTGTTCATGTGTGCATGATGTGTTCACACAGTCTGACCCTTCACACCTACTGCACCTGCACACGACAACATCTCCTTCTCTTGATTGCACGAACGGGCCCAGACAAGCAGGCGAGTCACGCAGATTGTTGAGTCTCCGCGCACATCGAAGTGCAGACAAAAAAAAAGTCAAGATAAATGCTGCGTTTGTTCCTTGGAGTGGCGTGACCGGCCTTCGTGCCATCTCCTGTCACTTGACTGGCTTGCGAGCCTGCCGGTCGCCCTGGCTCCACACACAAAGCGGGCCCTTATTAGCGGGCCGCGCGGGGTCCTGGCTCTGGAATTTTAACAAGCTCCCAGAGCGGGCTCAACCTTATGTGATGTGCCCTCTTACTGGCACTAAACTTCCTGCTGCAGCCACCGTTCCGTCGGGGTCTCTGTTTTGACATCAGAGCATTCTTCCCTGCGAGTTATAACGACCTGTGATGTCTGAAGATACGCTCCTCAGAGGGTCACACTGAACAAGTTCCCAGAGTTCAAATTTAGTCTCCTGTCACTTGACTGGCTTGCGAGCCTGCCGGTCGCCCTGGCTCCACACACAAAGCGGGCCCTTATTAGCGGGCCGCCGGGGTCCTGGCTCTGGATTTTAACAAGCTCCCAGAGCGGGCTCAACCTTATGTGATGTGCCCTCTTACTGGCACTAAACTTCCTGCTGCAGCCACCGTTCCGTCGGGGTCTCTGTTTTGACATCAGAGCATTCTTCCCTGCGAGTTATAACGACCTGTGATGTCTGAAGATACGCTCCTCAGAGGGTCACACTGAACAAGTTCCCAGAGTTCAAATTTAGTCTAGCACAACTGCAGTCTTTAACGCTAACAGATTTATCCCCTGTCAGCATGCTGAGCCCATTAGGGACGGCTTGATTGATTCTGGTGTGTGCTACCTGACGGCATAAAAAGTGGAGATGCATTACGGGCTCATTAGGAACTTTCTGACACTTTAAAGATCGACCAATAGAATACTAACTGGAGTGTAAGGAAAGTTTCTGTCTTCTTTTTCCTGCTCGAGTTATTTTGACACCAATACCTGGATTCCACTGCCTACGATCCAAGCCCATTTAGGGGCCGAGAGACAAGACCGAGACATTTAGGGACCGAGAGACAAGGCCGAGACATTTAGGGACCGAGAGACAAGACCGAGACATTTAGGGACCGAGAGACAAGACCGAGACATTAAGGGACCGAGAGACAAGACCGAGACATTTAGGGACTGAGAGACAAGACCGAGACATTTAGAGACCGAGACAAGACCGAGACATTTAGGGACTGAGAGACAAGACCGAGACATTTAGAGACCGAGACAAGACTGAGACATTTAGGAACCGAGACATTTAGGGACCGAGACAAGACCAAGACCTTTAGGGACTGAGACAAGACCGAGACATTTAGAGTCTGAGACATTTAGGGACCAAGACCTTTAGGGACCGAGACAAGACCGAGACATTTAGGAACCGAGACATTTAGGGACCGAGACAAGACCAAGACCTTTAGGGACCGAGACATTTAGAGACCAAGACCTTTAGGGACCGAGACATTTAGAGACCGAGACATTTAGGGACCAAGACAAGACTGAGACATTTAGGAACCGAGACATTTAGGGACCGAGACATTTAGGGACCGAGACAAGACCAAGACCTTTAAGAACCGATACATTTAGGGACCGAGACATTTAGGGACCGAGACAAGACCAAGACCTTTAGGGACCGAGACAAGGCCGAGACATTTAGGGACCGAGATAAGACCGAGACCTTTAGGGACCGAGACAAGGCCGAGACATTTAGGGACCGAGATAAGACCGAGACTTTTAGGGACCGAGAGACAAGACCGAGACATTTAGGGACCGAGATAAGACCGAGACTTTTAGGGACCGAGAGACAAGACCGAGACTTTTAGGGACCGAGACAAGGCCGAGACATTTAGGGACCGAGAGACAAGACCGAGACATTTAGGGACCGAGACATTTAGGGACCGAGACATTTAGAGACCGAGACATTTAGGGACCGAGACAAGGCCGAGACATTTAGGGACCGAGACATTTAGGGACCGAGACAAGGCCGAGACATTTAGGGACCGAGACAAGGCCGAGACATTTAGGGACCGAGATAAGACCGAGACTTTTAGGGACCGAGAGACAAGACCGAGACTTTTAGGGACCGAGACAAGACCGAGATCATAAATATCACAGAAAAATCATAATCTTGTGTCAAAGACGAGCCCGAGACCTTCAAAGAGTAGTCTGGAGATCTAGAACGATTTTGAGTACAACACTACTTTAGTGTTCAGAGTCAGACCATCCAACAAAGATAGCATCATATCACATTCACACAGGGACACAAGTATTCAGTCTCTGAATGGATTACAAATATGAAAAATCCTATGCACACATCTTCAGATTTAAACCGGTCTCCTATGAAGTGTTTGAACACGAACCATATTGCTTTTTCTGACTCAGCGCTTCCTTTTTAAACAGTCAGTCCCTAAGGGGAGCACATAGGAGGGTCTGTGTTGCGTAAAGAAATGCTGTCATTCCACAGAGGCAGCCAGCTTCATCAGCCACTCGCATGGTTGCCTGCCTCTGCTTGCTTCACCTCAGCCCCCCCCCCTCTCTCTCTTTGTCTTTCCCTCCCTCCCAATGTCTCCTTCCCTCTCTCTCTCCACCCTGTGAGGCCTCCTCTGCACTCAATGACTTCCATGTGGAAGTCTCTCTCTCCTCCTCCTCTGCAAAGTAAATATTTATAGTGGTGTGAATAGCACGATGCTGCCGTCTCTGTGAATCACAATAGTATTTCCCCCGTTTCCCTCTTACTACTCGGGGACATCTCGCAGGCAAATCACTCAGAACGGATTGTTTTTCAGGGAAAGGATTTGACTCCTTAAGAAGGCAATGTGTTCTTACTGACTCCCATAAATTGCACTTAAAGGCTTAGCTCAGCATCATGAGCGTGTGAATTTATGCTCAATGCTGCAAACTGGTTTACAGGAGGAACCTAGAGGGCCATTTGTGATGACTGCACTGGTTTTAAGAGCCATAAACCATTGCTGTTGCTTTAATGCTTCAGCGTCCTTACACTCAGACGTTCGTCTTTGTTAACGAGTTATTTGCTGGTTATTGATCGGTTCCATAACAGCTGATCTTATTTCATGTGTGAAACATCTTTCTTTGTGTCAATTATGTCTTTCAGTGCAATCACCGTCTACAGCCAAGCGGGTGCAGGGCAACTCTTCAACCCCCTCGCCTTACTCCTCTCTGTGGGTCATTTTCTCGGGGTGCTTGCCGGCTCCTTCCTCCTGGGTTTTATGTTTGCAGTCATAACAGCCCTCATATCCTTTCAACCCCCTCCACCCCTCTTCCCCTCTTCCCCTCCCACCTTTCGCACCAAAACTCAATTATCACCTCTGAATCCACTGCAGTCTCTCCACATCCTCCACTTGGTAATCGCCTCCTTAACAAACCCCCCTACTGTACCACTTTTATCAACAAAGGCGACGCGGCTGAGACCAAAGTGCCGCTGCGACGTTAACGCCTGCAGAGCGGATCTTCAATCAGGCCTCTGATGAAGTTTCGACGTGCGCTGTTGTCCGGCGTTTCTCTCTGATCTTCCAGTAATAAGACTTTAGGATGAAAAACGAGAGCGTGTCATGTGAGGTTTGGGGGCGCAGCTCAGCTCTTTATTTACAATGACTAATCTCCCGGTGCGGGCGAGGCACAAAGTGAACATTTATCAGATTATGCTGATGCTAACCACAGCAGCAGCCGGCTCGTTTGTGCTGCCTCTTCAAAGAGTGGTGTCTTAAAAAGAGATTCACTTTGACTTGCAGATCCTCAGTCATCTTTTAATTAGGTTAGCTACCTGTCCATGGCAATTACAGACTCAATCAGACTTGAGAAGATATTTTCATTTTGGGAGTTTGGAGTGCAGAATAGAAAACTGTAAAATATAAAGACTTCAAAATGTGCATAATTACATTTCCTATCACAAACAGAAAACCCTTGTTAGATTTGTTTCTGGGACACTTTTTCTGCTTTGCTTTAAAAAGTAATGCCGGAGCGGGACGTGGGTTTTAATATCTTCTGGAGAAGTCTCAGAAGTAAAAAATCTTATTAAAACACAGAGGAGTTTTTCCTCTGGCTCAGTGAGCAACCTTCTGCAGTTGATTTTTGTCTTCTGTTACCGCAGTGCTTCTGTGTCTGCATACAGGCACACTGGAGGATGCAAATAATCTGGAAAATAAACAACTAAATCTTTCAATTTGAACAGCGATTACACCTGTTTACAGAACGATGAAGAGCTGGATAAACACTGAAGCTTCAGAGTCCACCACATGGTGACCTGTGTGAGCATCCACTCTAGAGAGGAGGGGGGGGGGCAGCTCTCTATGATGTTTAGAATTTGGACTGCAGTACCCATTTTAAACACTAGGTGTCAGAGTTACATACTGCTCCTTTAAGGTCGGATTAAGCAGTAAGTGGCTGAATGCTAACGTAGTTTTTGTTAAACCTTTGCATAGAAAGTGTTAATGTAACTTGTAATATAGCCTCACTAGATTGTTAGTGTTTATTGTTATTTCAGTTTAAGACAATTTGTTAAATTACCTCGGCTACATTTTTTGGATATACAACCTTGAACACAACAGTACTAATTTATAATAGCATTTTTAGCTTCCCACAGATCCCATGACATCAGAGGAAAACTGCTTCTTCTTTTTTTTTTAAATGGTAGATTCTCAGGAGTTAAATCACACCCTTAAAGCCAAAATTTTCACCGAGGGACCTAATCATGTATGATTATCCTCTTCTTCTTTTTAAATCTTTAACTCTCTTTCCACCTCACCAAATTCACCCGGCTGTGTGAGACTCCACTGGTGGAAACATCACTATTCTTCCTGCTGTCTTGGAGCAGCTTCCTCTCTGCTGAAGCCTGTGGACTTTCAGGTGAGCCCTGTTTTTATTTACATGTCGTGTGTGTGTGTGTGTGTGTGTGTGTGTGTGTGTGTGTGTGTGTGTGTGTGTGTGTGTGTGTGTGTGTGTGTGTGTGTGTGTGTGTGTGTGTGTGTGTGTGTGTGTGTGTGTGTGTGTGTGTGTGCATCCTGAGGGAGGTCAAACAGAGTAGATAGATCTGCCCTCTCCACCCTCAGGCACCCTTCTCAATGCATGCTCTGACTCGCTCTCCTCTCCACAACACCAGTGTCACGAGCAGCTGTTTGATTGGCAAGCTCTGCTGCTTCACGGCTTTACGGCTTTTCTCTGCTGCCGCTTACACTCCTGGAAATGACACGTGCATGTTCTGCGTCGTCCAGACACGACCATCTGTGCAAAGAAAGGATCCAATTTTCTTTTGATTTAACCCTTTACTCCCCCAACACAACAAGGCCTCTCCCTGCCTTGTATACACATTTCTCCTCTGAGAGTCCTTGGCATCGTAGAGAGTCAATAATGTACTGATGACGAAGTATTAAGCCATATCCTCTCTACGGGGAACTGCAGGTACCAATCCCATTCTGTGCTCACACCCAATAACTCACTTTATGAAGGTGTCCGCCCTCCTCTCTCTAAGCGTGTCTGTACCCATAGTTTGTGAGATGGCTGCACTGATAGCAGCAAGCCATAAAAAAAAGAAGCATAATAGCTTTCTTGCCCTCGCAGTGTGGTTTCCTGTAAAGTCAAGCTTGGAGCTCAGGTCTCGTGTAGGAATTGATACACAATGATCCACTTTAACCTTCCTGGCTTGCTCCGCCACCAAGGGGGGGTTGCTCTTTTTTCTCTTTGTTGATTCATCGTATCTAAAGCCTTTGCCAGCTTGTGTTTGCAGAAGAATAATTACTTGGCTCAGCCTGTCTGGAATTATCTTCATCAACTGTGGTGCCTGCATTATGAATGTAGTGTACATGTGCATGCATTAGCGTTGTTGTTCCTCCTGCCCTGATTGTGTCAGCTGGATTGCACTCGTTCAGCTCGCTCCTTCTTGGCAGTTCTCCCTGTGGCCTGTGGAGGAGGAGGAGAAGATGGTTTTAATGAAATAGCGTAACCTTTGTCTATTGAACCCAGATGCCCTGTCTATAAAACACAACAGGCTGAATGCAGTGTGGGAGGCACACCGCAGCAAAACCCAGGCAGTGATTCCATCGCATGCAGAGCTTTGGGTTTTTTTTTTTTTAGTGCAGATATTACTTTTTTGTTTTCTATTTCTAGGGGTAATAGTAACATGTTTTATTTTGACCTTAAACCAGGAGGATTTAGATGCAGATTCTGCTCGTGGAGCTTATTAGAAACATGCAGAGGCTTTTTAGGTCGGGTACAATCACTTCTATCTGAACCACTTCTCTTGCCCGCTTCCATCGCTGCAACACCTGTTGACCTGATAACTGCTCTCATATCTGGCAAATTGAGGGGCGTCCAAAACGGCCGTGTGGGGGGTGTCTTAAAACCGCCTACTGTAGAAGAGTAAATGCTCTTAAACAATCAGACAGAGACGTATGGCTTGTGAATCGAGGATCTGTTTATTTCTCTCAGAGTAGTTCTTTTATAACATCCCAATCATCCTTTTATGGGCAATCAACACACTGAGCAATTAAAACATGTGTGCCATATAAAGACCATTTCCTAGAAGTTTCCTGGATGGAGAACTGGTCTATTACCAGGAAAGAGTGGGTTGGTATGTGTGTACGTGTATCAGAACACGTGTTTCTGTTATGATTCAACCTTTCAAATTACAACACTACCTTCTCTGGCCCAAACAAATCCAGAGCATTCAAGACCAGAATCTAAACTTAGAGGAGGACATACTGAAATATCTATCAGAATACCATGCTGTAATGGATAGTGGGTACTTAATCACACTAACCTAAAATCAGTTCTTTTGCCATCTTTCAATGTTACTGGTACCCTGTAGGACTAAACGGTGGAGTGCTGCTCAGTTCAAAGGCCTTCAACAGTCCATTTGTGGTGAAGCGGCACGTCATGCAGAGCCACCTGGTGAGCGATGGCACTCCTCTGCAAACCAAGGCCGTTTCTTTTCTGTATCCGTTAATTGCTGGAGTTTGGTGAGGAGGTGCCTAATGACCCTCATCCTTGCAGGGAGCCTTGCCTTCATTAATCTCCCACCCATCAAAAAACTGCTCATTATGGGATGCATCTCATCTGTTGCCAAGAGTGGAAGAGTCTTTATGTGGAGGGTGAATGATGAGTTACCTGTGTCAGCAAGCATTATGTAAACCAAGGAGGGTATGTTGTTGCCCTAAACCGAATGAAATCAAAATGAGCTTCATTAGACTTTGGACACTTTGAGAGGGGAGTACACTCCTGAGAATATCTAGATAATATCAGGAGTTAAAGAACCTACGCAGAAGTGTGCGGACGACGCAACAGAGTCAGCTAAACGATGCTAAAATGACAATATTTACTTTTATATCAATGCTATGCACAGTTTCAAATATTAAAAGAGCAAAGAAGAACATAATGGAGAACAGGAAACTTAATGCAGCAGGTTCATCAGAGCACGGAGATTGTAGCAATAGTAGACAGTCTATGATCGTGCAGCAATCACAGGGAATAAACGTCACCACCCCCTCCCACTGGCCCCTCCCACTGGCTCCTCCCACTGGCCCCTCCCACTGGCTCCTCCCACTGGCTCCAGGTGAATTCTCCTGATTATATCCTGCTGTGTTCTCACATCAGCTCACTCTGACTTTCTGCAGAATAAATACGAGGAGGCTGGAGGAGAAACTTCAGGTGAAGTCTGAGTGAAAAATGTGGCTGTTTGCGTTCATACATCCAGCTCCTCCAGAAAATATTGGTTATTGATTAACACAGATATATGTATTTAACAATAATTAACCTCTTAACTAAAATGCATATAATGAATCAAACCATTTTAAAGCTTTTGTTTGCATAAGCTTAGCAGAATGTTAAAGTCAGCACTTGCTTGATATTGCAGTTTCTCTTGAATATACTGTATGTGTTATTGAAGACCTAAGTTCTTACTCAAGATGTTTACCTTTAATTTAAGTCTTAGTCAACTCATGAAGTGCGCACTTTTCCCAAACACTATAATGTGAGTATTATGTGAATATAATAATAATGTGGCTTTTTGAGTTCACACATGCAGCTCCTCCTGAAAAGGGTTAGTCCTTTTTCGGGAGTTTCCTGCAAGTGTGAAAGCTTTTTAGTGCAGGTTCAGGTCAGCATCATGGTGTGAAAGTAGAGAGAGAGAGAGTAATGGGTGAACTTTAACCACTAGCTATCTTTTCTCTGCTCCAGCTCTGTCCTCTTAACTATTGCTACCCATCGCCGTAATTTCACATTTTCCCATTGTTAGTACGTATGTTCATGGATTCATTCATCTTGATAATTTTGTGGACGTATCTTTAAATTTTGTCAACCATCTCACAGTAATTCTTCTTTTGGGTCTGTGAAGCTGTAACCTTATATGGTGAAACATGTAAATTGTAGCAGATCTATGTTTGGATAAGAGCCAACCATGTGTTGTCAACAACTGTTCGCTAGACAGAGAGTCTACATCTGATACGTATACAAATCAGTGTCATGTCATCTTTATTGTTTTATAGTGATGTACCCAAATGGAAAGGAATTTGTGGGCTGTACCTTCTAGCAGAATATAAGCAGCACTGTGTGATGAAGACTTTGCCATTTTGCCACTTTGCCAATGATTTTTAATGGTTGTGAGATCTTGGTCAGCATGGGTCAGCGATGGTCTGCACTTTGTCAGCCATGTGTGTTGTGTTTCTGTGTTGTCTGACCATGGCTGAATAAATCTAAGATGATCCACAGTCTGTTTCACGTTTTCATAATTGTCCATCTACTACAGAAATAGCCCCCACCTAACACCCATCTTCTGTGATTCTCTCTCAAAGCAGAGGGAGCACAAATGTGAAATTGAATTTTTCTGCAACAAAGCGGCATGTCCTGCGAGGCAGCAAAACCCCGCTCTGAATGCTATGCGTTTCAAATTCCTGCTCTCTGCTCCAGCCACCCTTCTCTTTAGCAGCAGGGACCCCTAATCACTCCCTCCGCCCCGTTTCCTCTCTGTGTCTCTGTGGCGCTGCATTTCTTCTCTACTTTGTGCTTGTCATTTTTCTTCCCCCTTGTGTGAATTTCAGCTCCTCCGCATCTGGCATGATGAACGGCGATTATGTCATTCTTTAGCTTTTTTTTCTTTTCACTCCCATAACTTCATGTCTCTGGAGGGGGGTGGATGTGATGTGAGGAAATGTCTTTGGCCAGAAACATGAATGCTCACTGGACTCGTACAGCACATTTTGATTGTACAGTATGTACAGCTGGACTTCATTGGAACCAGAAGAGTGGGTGTTGAAGGGTTGGGCGGCTCTTATCTGAGAGGAAGAGCTGCACATAGGAGGATTTAATCGAATTCTGTTCGGACAATGCATTGTTCTTTTAATATGAAAATTATGTTTCACTTCATCTCTGTCTTGGGAAGTCAGTTGCTTTAAAAACCGAGGGGAGGGGGAGGGGGATGAACCTCCTCCTGCATACAGTATCATCATGAGAAGTCACCAGCACACAAACATCAACACAATCACAGCCTGATTACATAACGTATGCATCTATAAGACATTTAGCATAATTTGTTAGATGCATCTCATTGTTTCCATCCTTCCTCTTCCTGTCTGCCGGAGACTCATCTTTGAGTTTCGCCCCCACAAATTTTTGATCCTCACATTTTTACACTTTTTGAGCTCTTTGTCTTTCCCCTGTTTTAAAATGTTATTATCCACACTAAGAGATGCACTAAAATTCTGCTTCTGATGAGCTAAACTACCAAACTCCCAAATGATTTCTATCACTGTTATAAAGTCCTGCTCAGTGCTCTGATGCAGGGGTGTGTCCACAAGGGGGCCAGGGGTGGCAAGGGCCCCCTAGAAATCTGTTGTACCACCCCAAAAATCCTAAACTGTGATTGCCTATCTGCCCTGTCAGAGGCGGGACTTATGTCAATGCCAACAATTTTATTTTGCAAAGGCTGTTTGAGTGTGTTTGACTCTATGATGCTGCTTAACAGGCGCCTTATATGTGTGAGTAGTGGTGAGAGCGATGAGCTGGATGGGCTCAGGTCATTTTGGCTGAGCAGCAGGGGCGGCTCCAGGGGGTGACCAGGGGCCCCACTTGAAATCTAAACATCCCGATTGTGATTAATTGTGATTAGCCACAGCCTCTGATGTGATGAGTAGTAGTTTGAGGGGAGGACTCTTCTGATATGTTTCTTTGCCTTGCAGGTATTATTGCAGTGATGTTTTGTGGCTTGAGCCAGGCGAGGTACACAGTTCATAATTTATCCACTGAAAGCAAAACCCGGACCAAGCAGGTATGTTCACTGAGACCCCTTTCACTTGTGTTTTCCAAACATCATTTTCCTATCCTCTTACTTTTCCTCCATTACCATGTAATGCCAATGTTTGTGTCTTGGGCTGTTTGTGCAAGCCCCGTCATTAATTTGCCATTAGTGCCCTGGCTGTGCAGTGGGTGTCTGTGTGGGAGGCCGGTCTCCAGCTAACTGCTTAAAAAGGCTCGGCACAGATGCAGGCCAGCACTGTCTCACTGTACCAGCCAGCTTCACAAAGCAGAAAAATAAATCACAAGTACACACATATATTCATCTCTGCATTTATTATTCATTATCGGTGCCACAGTGGAGCTAACTGTTTACCACAGAAAAGTCATTTTAGAAGGTTTTGCTGCACAGCTGATGATTTTGCCTATAAAGCGGATTGGCTATGCTGTTGTCAATGTGTGTGTGTGTGTGTGTGTGTGTGTGTGTGTGTGTGTGTGTGACGCCTTATGGTTTCTTGCCTGAATCTACATTTGTATGATTTATACAAATAGGCAGCTGCAGCTCGGTGGGAAAGACAAAGTGTGGGAGCGTACATACAGACACTATAGTTGAAGAAGCAGAATGCAATCTTTTGTACGTCTCTTCAGAAGGAAGATCCTCTTCATCAATAAGATAGCTTATAGCAAAGCTTTAAACCAAAGCTATAGCATAACTAGAAAACAGAAATGAATCAATCATTCATGAAATCACAACTTGTGCTTTAATTTATTTAAGACAACATGTATTGGCCTTTAGTGAATTATTATCTTTTTTGCAGAAATGCATCATTCAAATGGTTTGAAGTCTGTTTTCTTTTAAAGGAAGAATGTGCGACTTTTTGATCCAGTAGATGTCGCCCTTGAGCACCAGCATGAAACCAAAACAAACTTCTGTTTGGCACGCCTCCTCCATACTGAAGCCTCCGCTCTCCTCCAGAGACACACCTCCAACCCCCTCTATTCCGTTCCCAGTTTAGCGCAAACAGCAGACAAAATTGTCCTCAGCTCGAGCTGGAATCACCTGTGTCCTGCATTGTTGTGTTAGCATGCTAATGTTAGCGCTCTTTAGTTAGCTCGTAGCTTCACATTTCATGTAAACTGACACAGAATGAGCGTGATCTAAAAACTCTTACTAACATCCAAATAATCAGTGAGTATGTTCTTCTTCTTCTCTCTAGTTCTTGACTAAAACAGCTTTTATACACAAGGGGAGGAGCCGGCCGTCCCGTCCATGTAAACACGGCTCTGACAACAACACAGCCAGCGGGACTCGAGCTTCTCCCTCATTGTAGACAGTCAGGACTCAGAGACACATTTACACAGGATAGACTTTATGATTTATTTATGTGGAACATGTCGATCATTCTTCCTTTAAAGCTGATGTCCAAACCCTTTGGTGTGACCCTCCTCATTACAGACATTATAGGACTGAGTTGATGAATTATGTTATAATATTTTCTGATTTTCAAAGTGCAGAAAGCGTTCTGTAAGTCTTTCCATGTGTGCACAGACAGCGTGTGTAAAATGAAATTCTTCCTTGAGAAATGGAGGACAAAGATGTGTGTGGTTACAAACATCATCACGGCCTTGAGCTGGAGTTGTTTGTAGTCGTCACCTCAAAGGATCAGAGAACATCACAAACATTGGATTGGTTCTGTGTGTTCAAATCTAATCCTGTTTACGCGTTTCAGATATGATCCGAGTCCTTTCCTCTCATGTCCTACACACACACACACACACACACACACACACACACACACACACAGAAACTCACACACCTTCACACACCATGCTCTCTAAGCCCCTCCCCTCCTTGGATGACCTTTTCCCTCCTGATCCTCTCTCATCCCTTTTTCATAATTTGCAGCTCTTTGAAGTCCTCAACATCCTGGGGGAGATTTCCATCTTCAGCTACATGGGATATGTGTTGTTGACGTTCCCTCACCATGTCTTCAAAGCCCTCTTTATATTCGGGGCATTTGTATCCTTTTGTTTTTTTGTGTGCTCCGTGATCGAACATCTTCACCTCCTGCTTTCAATCCCAGTGGGACGACGGAAAAGGAGGTGCTCTCTTCTCTTCTGTCACTTCAGCCCTGCTCTGCACAATCATCTTCCTCTAATGGTCCAGAGTGGTTCCCCTGTTTCTCTCTTTCTTACCTCCCTGCTGCAGTGCAGTCATTTAAACAGAACCTGCTTCAGATTGTACAGGTTTGATCTGGGGAGCTCTGTAAATGCCAGTCAGACTGTCTCTCATGATCACCGTCTCTGCAGATTTGAGATGCTGCAGTGCAGCTCGGGAAGGGGAAGGCCACTGAAAAAGAAATTCAAATCGGTCTTTAATTATTATTAGTGCTGCTTGTTTAGTGTTCTCTAGCTAAGCTCTGTGGAGTTAAGATGTTTGCCTGTTTGAAATAAGCTCACAGTTCTTTAATTTGTAGTGGATTAAGCAGTGTATCCCTGTTGAGGTTGAAGATTAAATCTTATTAGTTAAAAAAAAACAGTGCAGTGAAAGGGGGCCCTGTTGATCTTTGTGGTGGTCTCATTACAGGAGAAATCCTCTCCAAAGCTTTTAGCAGTGTTAAATGGCGATCACTAAGGCTTATTGATTTTTTTTTTTGCCGGGAAATGCAACATGTCATTTGGCAGTGAATAAATAAATAATTTTTTTGGCTAATTTATAGAAAATCAAAACGTCTTTGATTACCAAAAAAAACAACAACCATGCACTGAATTGGAAATCTGTTCTCCACTGTTTAAAACACAAATATCAAACATCACACACATCTGAATCGTTAAGTACTGAGTGCTAATAAGCTCCACGAGCAGAAACGTGCTCAAACTAGGATCAATATTGGAGATGCTTTTGAAAAATGGAGAGAGGTTAGAACACAGAAAGGTTTACAGACCCATGCAGAGCTGGATAAACACTGAAGCTTCAGAGTCCACCACATGGTGACCTGTGTGAGCATCCACTCTAGAGAGGAGGGGGAGACAGCTCTTTATATGTTTAGAATTTAGACTGCAGTACCCATTTTAAACACTAGGTGTCAGTTACATATTGCTCCTTTAAAAATCATACCCATTTGTTTCTCCTCTGACATCATTTTTCATAGAAGAGCAGCTTGCATTCTGTTATTAAAAATGCATCAGCCCCTTAATAATGCTCTCTACATTTTCCAGCTGCAGTAGACGTCTCATATTCACAGCTGTGGTCGTATCCGTCAAGCTTTCTTCCTGCGGGGAGCAGAGGGACAGTAACATTCTTCTGGCTGCTATTGTCTTTGCCCGAAAGCTGGCATGACCAAAATGTATGCCTGAGGAGAGATTCTAGTGGCCTCACTCCAAGAAGCTCTACTTTCACAGTCCAGTGCCCAGATGGCCCGCAATTATTATTACAATCAATCTTCCACCATTGGGTCAAAGGAGGCCTGAGAAAGAGTTGACAGAGCAGATTCTTTTTGCAGTGTTCTTATGTTCTTTGCCAGTTAAAAAAAAACGCTTGACTTGAGCACTGAGCCAGTTTGAGCTGTTGGTCTCGATGGCGCATCTAAAATCTGGTTGAACTTCATATAATAGAATGATATCCTGCAAGCTTAAAACAACTCAGCACACAATACAAAACAACAGAGTACTTGGATGCTATTTAAGGTCGTTTTCACACATGAAGGTCAGTGGACTCGATGTGATTCAGGGGTGAAGTTGCCACTTGTTTCATTTTTTATTTGGTTGGGTTTGCTTTGCACTTTGTCAAGCACACCAAAGCCTCTCAAATGTTGTGTACCGTAGCCACCTGCTAGACACTAGTTGGGGCTTTAGTTCCTGAGTCACTCGTTGCCTGGTTGATGTGTTCATTTTCAAGCATAACAAAACCATGAAAAGCCACTACGCCGTTGTCTGTCATTACTCTCCAGTTGTTTGTCGCTTCATTTGACAAAAAGTACCACAACACTCACAGTCACTTAAGTCTGACCCGGATGTGCACACGGGAATAAATGGAGGTAGTAGTGCTGTTGTACAATGCTAAAAGTGTCTATAAAAATGAACTAATATCGGGGATTCACCCCCCATTAATCGCTCAATGCAGTAGATTTTAATCGCCGTGGCTTCCAGCCCTTCACCAACGCGATGCAGATGGGCTTTATTGGAAATGAGCCCGAGATGAAAGTGCTTAATTACCTCCCATTCAAAAGCTCAGAGGCCTTTTGATAAAGAGAAATGACTGCATTTGGAGGAAGGATATTGCTTTTGAAAATCCATAGGCTGAGGGAGATCTAAAATTAACTGCAGGGGGCAGGGTGCAAGGGGGCTCTGTTTTAGTAATAGCCCTGTCAGAAAACGCCTTAAATGTCACTCCATTTATTATTCCAGGCCTCATATTTGATATTACTGAAGAGAAGCTGAAATCCCTTTCCAATAAGACATCGATGCATCCGATGATTTAATGCTGATAAAGAGCATGTTTCACCATTTTCTAAGTAAACCATTTTAAAGGCTTATAAAACAACCAGATGAACTGTTGATCTGTCATTTAATAAAGTAAACATTCATAATGGGTGAGCCCAATATAGAACTGGGTTAGTCACTGCAACACCTGTAAAACGGCCGTGTGGGGTCGCCTTAAAAACTGCCTACAGCCTACATTTTTTTGTATAGGTGCAAAATATTAAAGGAGCAGTATGTAACTCTGACGCCTAGTGGTTAAAATGGGTACTGCAGTCCAAATTCTAAACATTGTAGAGAGCTGTCTCCCCCCCTCCTCTCTAGAGATGTTCACTCAGGTCACCATGTGGTGGACTCTGAAGCTTCAGTGTTTATCCAGCTCTGCATGGGTCTGTAAACCTTTCTGTGTTCTAACCTCTCTCCATTTTTCAAAAGCATCTCCAATATTGATCCTAGTTTGAGCACGTTTCTGCTCGTGGAGCTTATTAGAAACATGCAGAGGCTTTTTAGGTCGGGTACAATAACTTCTATCTGAACCACTTCTCTTGACCGCTTCCATCACTGCAACACCTGTTGACCTGATAACTGCTCTCATATCTGACAAACCGAGGGGCGTCCAAAACGGCCGTGTGGGGGGTCACCTTAAAAGCGCCTACCTTCTCTGGTCCAAACAAATCCAGAGCATTCAGGAGCAGAATCTAAAGTTAGAAGGAGGACATACTGGCTGCTGCATTGTTGTCAGAGAAGCCAGCACTTCAACATAGCATGTTTCCTTAATGATCAGAGAGTAAGATACCTTTATCATCTCACACTACAGTAAGTCCCTACAGAGGGCGTAGGGTACTTCCTACAACCTTACCTCTAGTGATGTTAAGGAGTCTAGAAAGTCTTATGAAGCGTCCATAACTCCATCTAAAAGTTTTGATGAAAGGTGTAGCCAGAGCAGCAGATAATTGTAAAGATATCGTCTCCCTGACTGCTTCCCCGGGACACTTAACATTCAGTGTGCCATCCTATGAGGAACATCAAAGTGTGTGTGGAGGGCAGAGACAGCTGGCAGAGCCTGATTGGCTTCATGCCTCGGCGTGGTGCCACACCGCTGTGTTTGCATCCTAAACAGAAGATGTTTTTAAAAAAAGATGCTTTGCGTGCGCAAGCATATGTGTTTATATTCATGAATGTTCTTCTACAGCCCGATTCCTTCAAAGATGTTCCATTATGTATGGGGTAATGTCGTGTTTTGTCTGATATGATTTAAAGGGATCACGCTATGCGAGGTCGAACACGGGGGATGTTTGGGAATAAATGAAACCGATTATTAAAGTGCTTAAAATAAACGTACCATCTGAGACTGTTAAGCCACAAATAATGAATAAAAATGGTGATGACTCACAAATTCTGTAGACGTCATCTCAAAGTATTAAATCAAGAAGATGGAAAAAAAATCAGGCTTTTTATACATTTGAGTATTGTTGAATGAAATTTCCAGTTTGTTTTCTCCTTGACCCATGCAGAACACAGACGCAGTGTAAAAAGTTGAAGTATTTTAATGTGCAATGGTTGCTTGAGATAGTTTTTGAGTGGAAGATTTGGAGGTGGGCAGGCGGAGAGTGGCTGAACTGACGATCCAGAGTGAGGTGAGCTGAAGCGGGCAGGTTGGTGACAGAGACGATCCTGAGCAGGAAGAGAAACAGATCAGTGGGCCGACTGCACACAGGGAAATAATCCTTCTTTTTGCACAAGAGATACACGCTGGTCTTGATGTAGGCCGAATGAACCGGGGTATATATGCACTGCTGCCTGATGACTTGATGAGAGACAGTTGAGCTGGCTGAAGCAATCAGGAGGAAGAGCAGGTGAGGAGAACTGAGGACACCCAGAGATAAATAGAGAGTGACAACAAGAAACACAAGAGAAGCAGGGGCAGAGCTGCAGAAACACAAACTTGTGGCCAAGGCTCAGGTATTGATAAAATGTACATGTACATAATTGTTTTTTCACCCTGCTTGTTTGTCTTGTTTTGAAGTTCTCTCCTTAACCTTCACTTCCAACAATCAGCTCTCCATCTTTATATCAAGAGCCTGCAACATCTACCCTCTGTCATTCCTCCTGAACCTGAGACGCTCCACCAAGATCCCTCGCTCCTTCCAACATTTCATGATGTTTGCAGGTGACGATCTTCTTTTAATGCACTTTTAATTCTTAATCTCTAAAATGTAGAATCTTGAGATCTTTCTCTAAACATCCATCTCATCAGATCTCTTCCTGCTGTTTGACAAATGTCGGGTTTTAGATGATGTTGCTGCAACTTGAAAAATGAGAACTTTTCCCCTTGTTAATGAGCTCTTGTTGTTATTCAGTCCTCTTCACCACCTGCAGTTAATAGCATTAGTGGCCGATGATGCTGAGGCAATGTTTCCTCTGTGGCACAGTTGTGAGTCAGTGAGTGTGCAGAAAATCAGCTGGGTGCAATCCTCAGGGCCTCGGTAATACTTCCCTCACTTTATTTTAAAAGAGGATGCCTTTTGCGATTATAAACGTCGTCAGTAATTTCTCACCAAAAATAATTCCCTCTCTTCTATTTTTGCAGCCGTGTTGTGGTTAAGGTGTAAATAAAGCGCCGCCCTCTCTGGAGACTAATGGTTGACGCTGAGAACGGTTTGATGATGCAGGAGAAAGGAATGTTTGATGTGAAGTGATGTAGCTCGGCAGCAGCAGCAACAGCATATTTTTTTTCTGCCTGTCTGACCCACTTTACCTCTTACGTAAGAAGGATCCTTTGTATGAAAAAAAAAAAAAAAGCCCTTGTCTTGCTATTTTTCAAAACTCCTCCCGCATCTGGTTCTCAAGGATTTGCACTGTGAATTGTTTTGGCCTTAAGTATTATGTCACCACTGCAGAGCCATGTAGAGGTTTGTTTTGGGGGGGGGGGGCTGCTTGCTGGTCCGAGATGGGGATATCGCAGGGTGTAATCTGATACCAATGTACAGGGTTACTAACTGGATATCTCTCTCCTGCCCTTATTCAAATAATTGATCTGTGGGTGTTTGTCTGGTGGGGTGATGGATGGCCGTAACCCAGCTGAGAAATGTCTCCTCTTCTCTTCCCTCAGGTTTAAGGGGGGGCTGTAGCATTCAGCCTTACTGCAAGAGACACATCCACAGAAAGGGGACGCACCATCTTTACCACCACCCTGCTGCTGGTGGGCTTCACCGTCTGGGTTCTGGGCGCAGCTTCAGACCCCGCGCTGCGTTATCTAAACATCAAGTCAGTGCTGCTTCTTTTCTTACTATTTACTTTCTCTTCTCTCTATAGTGAGGGAATTTTATCAGATATATGGCCAATCTGGGAATAAATTCCTTACCAACCAATTTCTACACCAATGTGTTTCTAAAGGTGTCTAGTTACACATATAAAAAGATTTAAATTCAACTCCTGTAGGAAAATCCGTGAGAGCTGCTGAAACTTCGGGTACCTGGAACCCTATTGGTTGAAAATTTGAAATTTTAGATTTTTTGTTTACATGTGCCTTAAATAGCATATTAAGGTTAAATTAGGGGTTATTTGGGATGCTGAATCCATTGCAAGCATTTATTTTGCACCAAAACCGCTCCTCGGTAAAGAAACGGCCCCGCCCACTTTTCCAGCTCTCTTGAAAACCCTTTGTTTAGGTGAAAATCAATGTTGCTTGTTGCATGTGAATTATAAAGCATCTTCATAGGTCTATTTATAAATGTATTAGTGATGGTAACTACCTTTTATTAACTGTTAAATGTTGCAGTTGGTTAACATTTGTAGCAAGAGAGTGAGTTTTGAGTGGCAGGTGCCCGACGTGCTCAAGCCATCCTGTGGATCATTGACAGACACAATAGATTCCACACATATCAAATAATATTCACCGGTCAAAGAGATATTGCAAGATGATTTTAACTGTGATATGTAAGTCTATATTAAATCTGAGTTTGAGTTTGGGGGGGGGGGGTGCACGCCGACACACCGACACAGTGACACAAACACTTGAAGGAATCTTGGTGTGTCTATCGGAAAGGTTATCCTTAAATGACTTCTGCCCCTGATTTCTAACTCTATCCACTATCCTATCTCTACAATAAAGGCACAAAAAGCCGCCCCCCTAATACAATGGTAGGGGAAACACTGATGTTGTCAAATGTATCATATCTGGTCAAATCTGTAGATTACAGCAGGAGTTCTTACACTGGATGTGGTCATGATCTTTTGGCGAGCTACTATAGCCACAATGATCTTCTGGGAGCGACTACCTAGACACTGCACAAACCTCAGGTAACTGCAATCTCCTGCCAAGTCTGACCTTGTTCCCACTTTACAAAGTAGAGAAGCCATCCTCCATCAAACACCAGACTGGAGCAGGGTTGGTCTGTGAGGTCAAGCGGATCTTCAGTCTTTCAGGCTTGTTTTGGAAAAGCCTGCTTTGTTCGCCTTGTTAATTTTTTGACCTTTTTTGTTGAACAATGACAAGGGGAAGGGAGTCAGCTCATACTCTAAGCTTGTCTCAACTGTCATATCACGTTGGGCAAAGATTATCAGTCAGGTGAACAACTTGAGTGAGTTTAGGTAAACCTTCTTGTCTTTGACCTTGGGAATATTTCTCAGTGATGACAGGGCCAGCACCTTGAACTTCACCTCCATGGTCGATGTCACTGACTGTCCATCCAGCTTTATCTGCATTTACCTCCCAACTTCCGCTCTCTCAGCGTTGACTGTGTCACCCGTAGTGCTCATGAATCCTGTTGAGAAGGACACAAGCAAATCGATCGTGGTCAAATGGGTTGGTCTCCTCAAACCTTTTGAGGGTAAGTTCAACTGCTTCAGCGTCTCGCTTCATCAGTGTTCTGGAAAGATCTTTGTGGAGTTGATTGTGTTTCTTGACACCTTCCTTCATGCGCTAGTTTACATCGGAGAAGTGGTTGAGGGTCTGCACCCAGCACTTGTGGCCTGAATCACTATTTCTCATCCTCCCTCTGCTCAACCCACCATCTGACTTGGCCGCCTTCATCAGTTTTAATACAACCCACCCAACCTTGAAATGATGGGTCGATTCACCTGCTTTATGATATCCTACCTTGAGTCAGATGGGGAGATCGAAGGTCACTATGGTGACTTTGTCCCTGGAGAGACGCATGCACTCTTTGAGAGTGGTGAAGATGGTCTTTAGGGTCACATTCGATGACTGGGAGGATGAAAGGGAGTGTTCCCATAAATTTCAACAATGTTCAAATCTATATTGTCTCCGACAAACTGAGTGACTGAGCAGATTGACATCCATGATGTTCGTCTGATTGTAACTTTGTATTTCACCTTTAACCAGCTGTCATAACTAATAGACCCCCAAGTTGGATGTCAACCTCAATCTCCTCATCTATCTGATTGTCGGTTTCTTCATCAATGGTACCAAGAGCACCAGAAGCATCAGAGATGCCCACTCCATTCTTGTCATTGAGGAAGCAGTATTTGTAATTTTGTATTTCTGCATAAGACTCTGTGTACCCTAACCGGCGTAACTTGTTGAGCATCCACTTTGACCCAAATCTATGATACAGTTGTATGGCAAGCCCCATCATGTACAGCAATACCCCTGACCGAGGCCAAAAGGCCTTTGCTACTCTTTCATCCGTCCTCACTACAGGTCTCAACAACATCTGAAGGCTCTCAGGAACAAGTGCCAGCTGACTAGGGATATCAGTCATACTGTGTGCAGTTGGGTATGACTTTGGATCTATATCAATAGTGGTGATGTCGTTGCAAATTAACTTTAGTGCAGTCTTGCAGTGCAGATTTGAGTCTTCTCATTTCCAAACTTAATGTTAGCATGTTGCTCTCGAAGGATGTTGCTGGTCTTATCTTTGAAACAGTGAACATCTGCTCTCCTCTTCTGTGATTTGAAATACAGTGTATCCTGGTATTTCTCTAGGAGCTTCTGCTTCAGCCGCTTCTTCGAAGATGAGAGATTCTTATCCAGTGACTGATCAAACTGCTGCATTTTTATGTGGACTTGGTCAAGTGTCATAACCCCATGCTTGAGTTCCAGGTCTAACCATTCTCAGAGCTCATAAAACACAGCGTCTCGCTCCTCATCAGTTTTCCTTCCTACTACTTTCCTCCTGCACATGAAACTCTGAAAACTAAAGAAACAACGAGTGGGAGTATTGGAATTTCATTCTTCCTGTCCTGTGTTGAGTCTGCCATGTAAACACGGCTCTGACAACAACACAGCCAGCGGGACTCGAGCTTCTCACTCATTGTAGACAGTCAGACTCAGAGAGAAACAGAGGATAGACTTGATTTCTGCTAAATGTTTGTGTAAAATGTTGCACATTCTTCCTTCAATGAGGACATTTAAAAAAAAAGGTTTTTAAAGCTGACGCACATTTCAGTAACAAGAAGCAGATCTTCCTCCTGTTTTCTCTTTTTTGACTCTGAGGATCCTGCAGGCTGAGCCATGACAGGGAGCGTGCACGATGGCTTCTCCCTGCATTAAAAGAAAGAAAAGCTGAGAAAAGAAGGGGGCGAATTGATGTGAAATTGCTTCATGAATAAATGAATAGAAGTGCCGACTTCTCCATACTGAGAAATCAGACAGTCACATAACATGGACAGGTATCACTGCTTCCCCCACAAAACATCCAAACAACTTTATTTTTCAAATGTTTTTTACTGTTTATGTCTTAAAAATCAAATGATTGATCTACTCCCGGACTCTTTTTACAGCCTTCAAAGCCTTCAAAGCCTTCTTCCTCTAACTCTCATCTCCTGTCTCCACCTTGTTATTTAAAACCATGTTTGTGTGTTTACACCTCATCCAGTCAGATGCAAACCTTTATCTCCTTTTGTTTCATGTGTCCATCACCTTGTTGGTCCCACAGACAGAGCCATGGTTTATTCCACCCTCCCTGAATATGCAGCAGCCCCTCTGTAAAGCTGTCCTCTGCATGTTTCCTTTCTGCCTCTCCTTCCTTCCCTCTCTCTCTCTGCTCGAGCACTTAGCTGTGTGAGTGTCTGCTCCGGCTCTGCCCTCTATTAGCAACGTGCACAGCTGGTGCACGGGGCAAAGCGGGTCTACAGGTCCCTGGAAACATGTTACCGAGGAGATAACATTAAAATGCAGCTTGCCAAGCAGTACACATGAACCCGTGTATACAGGAAGGAAAACAGTTTGTAGCCATATAATGAGAACACATAGCAAGCGCTGCTTTTTGAAGTCTGCGTGGTATCAGTGATGCGAGGTTAGTGGGCGACCATGATTAAGGAGAGCAGAAAAGGCGTGAAGGATGCAAGGCGGTAATTAGATACTTATATTATTAAAGCGTAATCTCTGGCTCGGATCACAGCGGGATAATTGACTCCCACAGTCTTTTGGAGGCATTTCTTCTCCGGTGGTTTTCAGTGATGTGTGTGAGGAGCGCTTGTTTGTGTGCTGTTTTCAAGTTGAAATTTAAACTATATTTTCAAAAGTCCTGTTTTGTCCACTCCCTCACTGGCAAATCAAAATCAAGAAGGGGGCGGGGCTACTGCTATAAGTTTGTCAACAACAATGGCGGAGGTGACGCTAGTCTGTTTCCAGGTCAGGACACGACTCCTTCACATCGTCTTCATGTTTTCTTGGTGATATTTCCTTGATGTTAAACAAATATTAAACACACAGGAGCTTTCTAAAACACACCTGGCAGGCATCACCGAGGGATGCAGAAGTTAACTTTCGTAACCTAGCAACAGAATGCTGGTTAGAAGTGCTCTGAAACGGAGGTAAAGGTCGCTGCCAGGGTAAAAAAGAAGCGCCGTCTGTGAACACTCAGCAGGCACAAACACTTCCGATCTCAGAGCTGCAATAACAATAAAGCCTTTGTGATGTGAGACTGACCCATCGCAGTCCATTTTCTTAATGAATCGCAGATTGACTCTTATATCTGCCAAGTTGTTTTTGATTCAGTTTTACTGCTGAATAAGCATCATGTCAGTGTTATGCTAACCCAATGTCCCAGCAACAAATCCCCCCCGAGCTCTGGATCTGTGTCTACAAACTGGAGGTCTCTTGTTCTGTGTCAGACAAGCAGCTTGAGGAGTTTCTGCTCTGTTGATTCAAGATGCTATCTTCACTGAGCTGTGTGAGATTATTGGGTCTCAGATATAAAACAACAATAGCGACTTTGGAATCTGTTTTTAGGCAGACAAAGCCCAGGATGACCCGCTCGTTGCAGCACAGTACCAAAACCTTTTTATAAGATTCTCTG